GGGGAAGGCAGCACTCCAAGGGGCTGTCAGCCCCGCACAGCCCTTGTGCAGCAGGAGATGTACCAGGAGGGGAAGTTCTTCCTTTAGCATCACTCCCAGGCTGCAGTAATCCAAGGCAGGAGTTGAATTTTTTCTCTGTTTCAGCAGCTTTCTTGCAGCGCAGGGACCTGGCTGCGTGGTGCTTGGGGCAGGGCAAGAAATCCCATCCACGAGCTCTCCTGGGTGATGCCAGGCGCAAAGCAAGGAGATGATTTGTGAGCAGGGTCTGGGCTTGCAGGGTTTGCCGTAACAGGGCTCCGGGCTTTAGGGAGCCCCCTTCGATTTCATCTTGGCCTGTTTTTTTTTCCAGGCTGCAGTGGAGGGGTGAGGTGGTTGTAAGCCACCCCTAGTCCTTCCCAGGGAGAAAATCATGTCCCTGAAGGAACCAAATGAATGCCCGTTTTCAAAGCCTATTTAGAGCAAGCAAATAGGCCAGGATTTGGGGGATGGATAGAGAAAACAGCCACTATCAGGGGCTCTTGGGGGCTGGGGAGGGCTTGCAGCCCACCACTCTTGCTGTCTCCAGGACAGGGCAGCTCCAGGGGCAGCTGGGCCTCCGCAGACCCGTTTTGGTCGAGTCCCGGGGGTGAGAACCACTTTTGCCCCATCTTTGCCATCTCTGGGTCTCACTCGTGATGACAGAGCTGTTTGCAAAAGCGCTGAGCACTCGCGTCACTGCGCAGGCCATGGGCTTCTGCACGGCCCGTGGTGGCTTTTCTGCCTTTAATAATGTTGGTTTTGGCTGTGGCCTGGCAGAGCTGGCTGGGAGCACAGGGTGTATTTATTGCTGGCTGTTGTTGCTCCCTGACCCTCCCCTATAAAACACTGGGGCTGTTGGACTTGGTGAAGGCGGCTGGTGGCCGAGGGCCTCGTGGCACCATAAAATGGGGCAGAGCCCCCAGTCCTGCTGCCAGATCCTTGGGCAGCCTCATGCTGTGCTCCCAGAGCGGAGCAGTGTCAGCTCGTCCCTGTGCCATTGGCCCCAAATCCTGAATCCCTGTGAGGTTCATCCCAGTGGTTGTGGTCCCTGAGCAGCTCTGGGCTGCAGCCAGCAGAGCTGTACTGGGTGGAATGGGCAGGGGATGGTCCCAGTAAGGTGCTGGAGCGGCATTTTGGCTTCTCCCTGGGGTTTTCCCTCTCTGCTGCCTTCCCTACAACAGGCAGGGATGCCATGCCTTTGTGCAACACAGTGGGACTAAAGCCAGCCAAAACCTTGGGTACGAACCAAAACATCTTCATCCCCTCAAGCAAGTGCTGCAGCCCACCTGGGGACACCAGTCCCGTCCTGCCGGGCTGTCCCCGAGGAAAGGCTCGCCTCTCCTTTAATAGGGCAGCTGCTTGTCTTCGTTAAGTGGTGCTGGCTTATTAAGAGCACATTTTTGAGGCTTAGCAGCTCCACGGAGCTGTCTGGGAGGGACAGTGCCAGGAGCGGAGCCGGCACACGTGGCAGGAGGACGCTGGAGGCGGCTGCTGGCAGCGATGCTCCATTGAGCCGGGCTGGGTGCCGGTGGCATCGCCCTGCTGCCCCAAACTGGGGTGGGGGGACGTGCCTGCTCAGTGCCTGAGCGCTGCTTGGGGGAGGACAGAGCAGAGGCTGGAAGGATCCAGCCAGCATTTGGGTGGCACAAGCCCCTCTAAGCACGGACAGAGGGGGATACGTGGGCACGAAGGGATGGTGACGTCTGGCTGAGCCCTGGCAAAGCATCTCTTGTGGTAGGATCTCCCTGGCAGAGCACCGATGGGGAGGAGAGGGGGGTCTGGCCCCCTCCCCATCTCCAAGAGCAGGTCTGAGGACGACTGATCTTTTCCCGTCCTCAAACAATGGCGCAGAAACTGCAGCAGGACAGGCTGCCTGGGCCACGGGCGACGGAGGAGAGGTGGCATCGGCGTGCCAGCCCAGGGCTCCCTGCCAGGACGGGGGCGACGGCGGGGCGCAGGGCTTGGCTGTGCCTGCCGGCTCCGCTCCCGCCGGCGGCAGGAGAGGCGACGCGCTGCAATCCATCTTGCTGGAGCTCTTCCTTCAGCTGCGCCGTTATCTTCCACCAGCGCTTTCTTTAATCTCCCGTTGCCCTGAGCAGCGCTGGCGGGTCCTGCTGCAGCATCTGGGCTGGGAAAGGTGGGAAACTGGCGAAAAAAGGGGCAGATTGTCACTGCCTGTGTCACCCCACGGTTCCTGCCCTTACCTTGCAGCCGGTGTCGGCTCCTCCACGGGCAGGACTGCGCGGCCGCGCTCGGATCGGAAATAGCATTTTACGGCAGCGCAGAGCGCACACGCCATCGGCTGGGGGCAGGAAAAACGATCCCAATCTCTTATCCACAAACTCGATCGGAACGGAACTGGAGTCACAGGAGATGGCAGCAGCGTCACCACAGCTCTCCTACACACCGGTGTCCAGGGTGTGATTGAAGGGCAAAAACTTTGCTTTTTTGTGGAAGCTGTGTGGCTCTTCTGTGCGGAAAGCCCCCGGTCCCTCGGGGTGTCCCGAGCGGGTTTCCCGCACAGTGACAGGAAAGCTCAGGGGACGTGTCCGTTTGCATCTGCGTGATGCTGGGCCACTGTATCGGCACCTCTGCGTGCACAGGTCCAGGTGACGCCGACCTTTTGGAGACCCTCCAGCTATTCCAGTCATCTCTTCTTTATCCCAAGCATCTCCCAGTTTTGAATTTCCTCCACCCAAAATCTCCACTCCCAGGCCACTGCCGTTGCTGTCTTGGGAGGAATTTCTCATTTGTTCGCTCTGGAGCAGTGCTAAGTGGTTCAATATGTCGGCAGTTGCTGCTGGAGTCGGACAGTAAACGCTAATGGGATATTAGTCTGTGCACCGTCCAAAACCCACTGGAAGGGTTTAGTGCAAATTGGATTTGCAAACCTCTCTCGGGTCTCTGCCCTTAGCAAAGCGCTGTAATCCCTGGCGGACGCCTTGACGAGCCGACTCCTTCTGTGCAAAAATGAAATTAAAGTTATGTAGGGAAAAGGGGAGCGGAGATTTGGGGGGGGGGGGGGGGTTCCCATTGCTGGGCTGGAGGTGGCATCAGCGTCACCTGCGCTTCTTGATCGTGCTGCTGGCAAGGGATGCAGATGGGTTCTGCTGGAGGGTGCCCATGGGTGCTGCTGAGGGATGCCCATGGGTGCTGCTGCTGGGTGCTGCTGAGGGATGCTGCTGGGTGCTGCTGGGTGCTGCTGCTGGGTGCTGCTAGGTGCTGTTGAGGGATGCAGATGGGTGCTGCTGAGGGATGCTGATGGGATGCTGCTGAGGGATGCCGATGGGTGCTCATCCCTCCCAGGGCACCTGGGGGCTGTATCTCCTCCATCCTGCCCCCAGCGTGGCTCGTTTCTAGCTCAGCCTGTCCTGCTTGCAGGGATGCTGGGTTAGGGCAGGATCTGTTTCTCTGGGGATGAGAAAGGGAATTATGACAGCGGGAGCTGAAGGGAATATGCCAGCCCACTGGAGACATGTGGAAAAGCCAGAGTGGCCGCTCTGCTCCCACAGGCGCCCTGGAAAAATGGGTCCTTCAAGGGCCATCGTGCTCCCAGGGCATTTTTGCGTAGGGGAAACTGAGGCACACTGCAGCCCAGTGACCTTCCCTGGGGATTGGGAGGGGGCCAGAGCGTGCTGTGACACCGGCCAAATCTGCAAAGAAGGAAAACCCTACAAAACAGGGAAGGTGAAAGTGGCCAAAGCCGCTGTGTGGGAGGAGGTGATGCTTCTATGGCAGCCCTCCTGCCTCTGTCATGATTTTCCCCCCTGGATCCCACCAAGGGCTTTTCCTTTCTTGGGAAAAAGGACATTTTGCCCCCAGCACACCCGTGGCAGCTCACAGATACCAGCAGTGTCGAAACCGGCCCAGAGGAAAGCACATCTGGGGCCTGGGCTCTGTCTCACTGCCAAAATTCAAGCTTTTAACCCTATTTCCTGAGGCACTGGGATTGTTCAAACAAGCCACAGTAATTAGTTTCCTCCGACAAACCACCCCTTTTTGGCATCGTGCAATTATTTAATGCATGGGGGGGGGGTGGTTTGTCACTCTCAAAAAAAAAAATTAATTGCTGTTCAGACTTCAGGTTTCAGCACGAGGGGGGGAATTTGGGGCTGGAGAGGCAGCGTTGGGCGGTGCATAGGACTGCTGTTTGCTGGCACACCAGCACCCATGGGTGCCCAGGACTGGGGGGGGCGATCTTGCTTGTGTTTTTTTTGTTTTTTTTTTTTGGCTGGAGTTATCCCTGATTTCCCGCAGAAACCATCCTGGGTTTGGTGGGATTTCAAACAATGTATTTTATTTTCTCTGCCCTTCAGCAAATGGGATTTGGCTGCATCAGTGGGGTTTCTTCCAGTTTTTATTCCCACCTCGTTCCCCGTTACGTTATTATTTTGCGTCATGCCACAAGCTGACGCACCAAGCGATACCATCCTGAAGCATTTTATTGTCATTTTATCTCCATTTACTCATCTCTTATCATAAACAACAGCTCTTGCTGCTGCTTAGAACTGACTGAATCGGCTTATAAAGGTTTCTGGGTTACTGTAGCCTTGCTGACCTTGGTGAAGCAGTTGCACCTTGTCAGGGTCAGTGGGGACAAGCAGCCGCTGGTCTGGGGACCGGCATGTGCTGGAAACCACGAGCTGGTGACTCTACTGCCCATATCCAACCAGCTAGGATTTTTAAATGCTTTCGCTGGTTTTTAGCTGGGAAGAGGAATAAATATCCCCAAAATGTGACATTTTCAATTATTTTTTTTTTTCAGAACTGGGGGGGTGAGGGGTGTTGGGTGCGCAGGTCTCGGCCAAGTGCCCCTGGACCTCGGTGCAGGCAGCACCTGGGTGTCCCTGAGCTGGGCAGGCAGGGTGAACGCTGCAGTGAGTCATGCTGCATTTAAACAGGTTTGGTGTTTTTTTTTTTTTTTTTTTTTTTTTTTAATGCTGATTTATATTGCAGTTGCGTTTCTGCCGCCGGCGTGCCCCAGCGAGCGACGGAGAGAGCGGCAAGGACGGGAGCAGCAGGGTGGGAGATGAGGGCAGCCGAGGCTGGAGGGAAGGCAGCGCCTTTATTTGCCCTCGCGGGGATCAGCTGGGGCTGAGCCGGTCCCGACGCGGGGACCTGGCAGGACACCGCGGCAGAAATCGCCACGCTGCCACGCTCGGGTCCACGTCTGCAGTGGGGTTCCTCCCCGCCGAGCACCCGCTGCGTATCCCCTGTTAATTAATGACATGAAAGCCCACGCAGGACCTCCGGGGAAGGAATCAAAGGCTCCGGCGCTGCCTCCCAGGGCGTGGATGTGTCCCGCGGGGTCGCCTGCCTCCCCGCAGCCCCGCGCCGTGCCGGGGCGCACGCCAGACGGTGAGAGCAGAAATCCCACGGGACGGACGGGAGACGGTGAGATCGGCCGGCACCATCCCGGCACCCGGCTCGCGAGGACTCCTTGAAGGACTCCAGCCCCCAAAACGGGTCTGAGTGGGGCTGGCTCTGCTCCGGGGGGGGTGGGCAGGGGGGAGGTGAGCGGGTCGTGGCCCCGGGGTTGGGGGCACCGGAGCGGTGCCAGGCTCTGGCTGTTCCATCCCGGTGAGTTTGGCTTCTCATATGAGCCGGCTCGGAGCGGCAGGATGCTGTCCCTCACGGTGCAGAGGTGGCTCTTCAAGGTGCCCTTTGGCATGGCACAAATTGGGATTTCCACCCACCCCCCCCCCCCCAACTCTGCTCCATCCCCTCCTGGAGATGCTCCCAAACCCCCTCGCTGGCAGCATTTGCTCGGTTCCCATTGGTGCCGTGGGCTCCCCCAGCTCAGGGACACGGCACGGGGCATCTCCTTGGCACGGGGCTCTGGCCACACCGTGGGGGCTGCGGGGGGTCCTGTGCCTTCTCATCCTCAGCTCTACAGCCCGTGGGGGGAAGATGATGCCCCTCGGTGCGGCACATCGCCGGAGGTGCCTGGGGATGCGGGATGCGGCATGGATGTGTTAATGGGCCTAAAATCCCTGCCACCTCCTGGTGCCATCTCCGGTGCTCAGCCTGGCTGCGTTTGAGCTGGTTTGGATCCCTGAAGTCCAAAATGAGGGAAATGGTGGGAATATGGATGGGGCCAAGAGCGGGGCTGCTCTGTCTGATGGCAACTACCCAGGCTCAGCTCAGCAGGGCTGGAAAGCTGCACCCCAACCTTGCTGCTCACGTTGGCGCAGCACCCCAGCTGTGGAAAAGACGTGAAATCTTCCTTTTCCAGTCTCGACCCGGAGCATGACATGGCCATCACCCTCTGGCATTGCCCGCAGCGCTGCAGGGTGCCCGTACCCCTGGCAAACCCTTCAGCTCTGTCACACAGGCTTGGAGAGGGCTTATTTTTCTTATTATTTTTATCGTGATGATAGGGTTGTGGTTGGGGTGGGTTTTTTTGTTGGTTTGTGGGGTTTTTTTTGTTGGTTGTTTTTTTTTTTTTTTTTTTTATACAGCTGTTTGGAGAGATGTAAACCAAACCCGCCGTAATTCAGCCCGAATGTAAATGTCATGTCAGCGTGGGAACGGCGCAGCTTGCCGATGGTTGGCGTGTTCAGCCGAGGGGCTCCCTGCTCTGCCGGGAACGCTGATGCTCCCCCCGCCCGCCCCTAGCCCCTTCTCCCTCTCTCCACCATCCCGTGGGTCCAGGACCGGCTCCGCCGCTGCCGTTTCCTCGCCGGGGCTGTGCCGAGCGGCTGCAGCCAGGAGGGGCTTTGGCAGTCACCCCAAAAGGCTTTCCCAGAGGAGCTGGGCTGTGGCGGGGAGCCCAGGGACAAGAGTCTGGCTCATTTGTGGTCGGCCTTTTCGGGGGGGACCGGGGGGAAGCTGGGGCTGCGGGGAAGAGCTTTGGAGTTTCTCGTGTTGGGCTGGTTTTCACTTAGGCAAAGCAGAACCATGTGTCCCGCGCTCGGCTCTGGATTTGCTTACGGGGGAGCGGGGAGAGCTGGGGAGGGGAGGAAGGCAGCGCAGGGACAGGAGCCAGCGCTGCGGGGCCGTGGGACGCGCCGTGGCCGTTATCGCTTTTGGCATCCAAAGCACGAGGCTGTGCCGCCGTGTCGGGGTGGGAGAGCCACCGGCGCTGCTGCCCCGTGTCCCCCGCCGAGGGGATGTCTGCACTGAGACGGTGACACTCCCTGTCCCCAGAGCAACCTCCAGGGCAGAGCTGGAGCTGGGGACATTGCCTTTCTTCCCCTCTTTTATGCACTCACTCACTGTCAAAAGAGCAGGAAAATCCAACCGTTCAACTCCGATCAGGGTCTGGGGATTATTTTTCCTCCCAACGCTCCCCATTTGGGAGCCAGCTTTGTCATTTTGGGGCTGGTTTGACCCCGGGGCATTGGCCATCCCGCTGCAGGCTCTGGTGCTCTCCGTGCAGCATCCGCCCTGGTCGGGGGTGTCAGACACACCGATGCTCTTCGGAGGGGGTCTATTCCCAAAAAAGTGTGTCAGGAGCTTGCGATAAGTTTGGGGGAAGGTCTGCCCAGGTGGTGTCTCTGCCACCTCCGTCCCCTCCGGGACCGGCCGACCATCCTCCGAGCAGGACCAAGGGTTGGGCCGGGGGCTGCTGCTGGAGGAGCCGCTTTTCAGCAGCCCCTGGAGCTGCTTCACCGGTGAGCCTGGATGGAAATTGTTTAATTCCTGCAGGGTGAGTCATGAGGAGCCGGGATTTCAAAGCAGCTTGGCTCCCATCTAAGGCACTAAAATAAACAGTGTGTGGCAGGTGGAAGCTCTCTCTGATGTCCCATCAAGGTCTTTGTCTTTCCAAGTGTTTTGTGTTGCCAAAAAACCCTCGGCCACTCCAAGGCCTCATCCATTCTTGCGGCGTGGCTGAGGCTGAGCTCTTGAAAATAATGAATCAATGCCCGGAAGCATGAATCGACTGAAAATTTATGACACACTTATAATATAATGTCTTTTGGGTTCTCTGCTTTCTGGGCTTCGAAGCGTCAGGCCTGAAAGTTTTCACATCTTCTCTTTCCCACTCCAGCAAGGAGGATTTAGGGTAAAAAAAAAAAAAACAACTCTACTTTTCCCTCCCTCATCTCATGACTCCAGGAGCTGAGGCTTTAAGGAGTCAGTGGATACTGGAAGCAAACCCTAAGAATCTGCTTGAAAAATTGGAAATGGGTTAAAAAAAAAAAAGAGCTATGAGAAAAACTGAGAGCGTGAAAAGCGAGGGAAGTCCAAGAAGCCCCAAATTGCTCAGTTTTTGTGAGCGAAGGAAATGCAGCCGTGGGGAAGGGGTTCCTGCTTTTTGATTTAGCGGGAAAAGGCAGCGGAAACGCTGACACTGGGGAGCTGAGGTGAAGAAGACGCCGACTAGAAATGAGACTTGATTGATCTTTTTTCCTTTTTTCCTTTTGCTGAACAGTGAGGATAATCAACCCTTGAAAAAGTTTATTTAGGGCTGCAGGGTGGATTTGTCGGATCCTCTTTGAAAAGAAAGACAAGAGGCATGAGGAGCTCAGGGAAGGTTTTGGGGGAGGATCTGCAGTGACGGGGGGAGCCAAGATAATCAACTTGCTCCCTCCAGACTAAGCGATAGGAGTTGGCTGTGCTGCTAGTTGTTGGTTTTTTTCTTAAAATTTCCAATTTTTCAGGACACGGAGTGGTTTTTCTTCTGCCTGGAAAGCAGTGAGCCCCGGCAGGAGCCGGTTGCAGCGGGGATGAGAGCGGGGCAGGTGATGGCACAGGGGGCTGCTGAAGCAAAGGCTTTGTGCTGGACCAGTTTTGGTGCTGGGCTCCTGCAAAACGGGGCTGGTCTGGGGGCTGTCTGGCAGGGAAGGGTCTTCTGCAAGATTGAGTTTCCCACTTGGCAACAGGCACGGCGTGGCTAGACGGTTGTGATCGCATTAATGGATTATCAGGAGAATGCAGGAAAATAGGGAGCCTTCGGGCTGTTCTCCAGCAGAAAAGCTGAGCACAAACTTTGGCCTTTAATCAAGCCAGGGAGGATCCCTGGGTCCCTCCCTGGGATGTAATGTGGCTGCAAGCGCCCAAACCCCTCCAGGACTCGGCCCAAAAGCCCCCTCCCAGCAAACCTGGGGCACGGACCCGTGGATCATGGGTGCTGGGGCTTCAGGGGGTCGATTTTGGGACTGGAGTAAATGCAGGGGCACAGCCTGTGGCAGAGGGTGACCTGTAAAGCCACGATGGCTCGATGGGTTTTGGCTCCCGGTGACGCGTGGTAAGAGCCGAGCAGGGTGCCCAGCACAGCCGTACCTGCCCATTTGTCTTGTGAAAAGAGGGATTTTTGTGCTGGCAGAGGAGGCTGTGCGAGGACCCGGTGAGACTGCACCTCTCTGCGAGCCCTCCTGCACCCTGCGCTCCCCATCAGTCCCTTGGCACGCTCTCGCAGCCACGTTTTTGCACCTACGTTTCTTGCAGCACCCCAAAGCCCCAGGTTGGCTGGGTTCCTGCACCCCCTCCAGAAAGAGGGGGGGCAAAACTGGAGCAGACTGGTGCCCCCCCAGCCCAGCGTGTCGGCCGCCCGCCTCTGCCTTGCAGCCAAACCCCATCCCCACCCATGCAATGCACTCTCCTTCTTCTCGCTTTGAGCAAGAGGGACAAGCCGCCGATGTGGATTTAATGAGTGGTTTTCCAGGTCTGGGTGCCAGGCGGGGTACCCTGCATGGCAGGGCTGCCTGGGGGCCCTGGGGATGTGGGATCCCCGTCCTGCCGTGCGGAGCCCGGGGCTGGCAGCGCAGGGAGACGGCTGCACTTTTGCATCGCAGCGTAACTGTGATGAGACCAGAGCAAAGAGCAGCAGCAGCAGCGGCCGTGCCCGGCACCGTGTGCTCCGGACTGGGAAGAGCCTGATGTTTCCTTGCTGGAGGCTCACTGTGCCGGCGGGAGCAGGACTTGGAGACATCAACGTTCAGACTCAGACTAGACGGAGGGAAGACATTTTTTACAGTGAGGGTGGTGAAACACGGGCAGATTTCCCAGGGTGGTGGTGGGTGCCCCATCCCTGGCCACGTTCAAGGTCAGGTTGGTCAGGGCTCTGAGCAAACCGGTCTAGTGGAAGATGTCCCTGCCTGTGGCAGGGGGGTTGGGTTGATGGTATTTAAAGGTCCCTTCCCACGCAAACCATTCCGTGAGCCTGATTCTATGACCACCAGACGCTGCGCAATAGCCATAGGCAACTTTTTCACAGCAGCCTGGTGGCAGCCGCCAACATTCGAGGTGTGGAGGTTTGACCCTGGGTCCCCCCTTCCCACCACGGGAGCTGTCGCCAGGTCTCGCTGGGTCGCCCGTTTCAGCTCCTTGCAAATGCTTTGCACGCTCGTGTGCAAACCGCCGCCTCCGGGGAGCTCGGGCTGCGTGGTGCATCCCGGGGCGCGGGCACCTTTGGGTGCAGGTCTGCACCTTGGGAGGTTTTGGGGATGGGGGGGATGTGAGATGGGGCTGCACCCAGCGTGTCTAAACAGGGCGGCAGGAGAGCCCTGCAGCGGCGGGTCCCGGGGAGCACGTGTCAAACCCCTTGTGATTATTTGTCGTTGCTGGGAGTGGGTTTAAAGTATGTGGAAACCAGCAAGATGGGAGGGCACAGCTCGAGCATCGTCCTGACTGAGACACGGCTGTGATTCCTGTGTGCGGGTGTGGGTTTTGCCTTTCCCCCCACCCCAAACTTCAGCTTTCCCCACAGGTTGGCACATGTGATCTGTGGCTTTTTAGAGCGAGAAACCAAAGGCAAAGCCTGGAATTTTTTTTTTTTTTATTGTTTTGCACGTTGGAGCTGGGGTTTTAGTCTTTTGAAAGGTCACTGGCGAGTGGGTGAGGGCCAAAATTACTGGCTGCCGAAATAGGAGGCTTTTTTCAGGACGCGCAGTGAGGCTGAAACCACGCTCCTAAAATTTTTATGGGTTTGCAATAAGCCAGAGGCCCTTCCTCAGGTGGACGGATCGAGTGCCGCAGCCTTGCTCCGTCGCAAGGCGCGGGGCAAAGGGGGCTGAGCCCATGGGGAGCAGCTCGGGAGGGGACGATGGAGGTTGAGCTCTGGGTCCTGTGTGAGCCCATCGCTGGTTGTCCACCGCGGTGTTCACCTCCCCAAATGCCTGAACATCAGCTCCCAAAAGCTCCTTGTCCTCCCAGACAGCCCGCTGCTGCCGTCCAACACCTCACTGCACGCGGGGTCCCCTCCCCACCTCCAAAACTCCGCACAGTCTGCTTCACCTGAGGCTCTTATTGCTTCGTGAGTCCTTCATTCCCTGAATTTTGCAAGCTATCCAAGAACAAACTGCAATTTTCTCAGTTCTTCACCATTTAGCACCTATCGCTGCTGCCTTGCTGGGAACCTTTTGATGCCGGTGAGCGTGGTCGGTGCCTGCTCCCTGCTCCTGCTCTTATCTCAGAGGAGAGATCTGAATTTAAGGCACCTAATTATGATGATGAATGTCGATGCGAACATGCCCAGCAGCATCCATCTCCCCCCTCCCCAGCATCCATCTCCCCCCTCCCCAGCATCCGTCTCCCCCCTCCCCAGCATCCGTCTCCCCCCTCCCCAGCGTCCATCTCCCCCCTCCCCAGCATCCATCTCCCTCCCCACGCCAGGAGGACGGGGAGGCCGGCTCGGCCTTGGCTCCGTGGGAGAAGTGGCAGTGGACAGGGAGGGCTCCGTTCCCCCCCCCCCCCCCCGGCGGTCCCGACCGTCCCCCCCCCCGGCTGCAAACTCGCCGCCCGGCGCACGTTTTGCTGCCGGTGCTTATCGGCGCGGTGCCGCGGCCAGCTTCGCTGCTTCGTACCCTGGCGGGATTTCATGAGCTGACCTCCTTATATGGCGAAACTATTCTTTTTCTAGCTTGGCATTGTTTATAGCCCAGTTGAAAATATTTAGACTCTGGCTGGGTTCTACAATTATCTTGTAGCCTACAGGGCATATAATTACTGTTAGTTAATGTGCAATTACCTGCATCTTGTAAAATAAAGAGTTGCTGGCGATGAGGCAGCGTTCACAGCCCTTGTTGTTTTCTACAATAACAGTAAAAGTGAACCTGTCAAATTCCATTTTAAAATAAACATTTTTTCCCCTGGTAAATTCTATTTGGCAAATATAGCTAAACTGTTTGTGTTTTTTTTTTTTTCCTTCTTTTTTTTTTTTTTTTTTTCCCCCGTGGAAAATTTATTTAAAAAGGAGAAATGTTTGGAGTTTGCAAGGAGCTGAAATAAAAAAAGGGGCCAGGAGGCGGCTGCAAATCCATGCCGCTTTCCAGAGCCTGTCTTTGATGGGGATTTAATGGCTGACAGCCCACTGACGGGAGCACAGACCTGATTCCCCGCCGCCTTGCCCGGCTGCGGAGTCAGTTGTAAAATCCCACCAGATCCAATCTGCTTTTTGAATGGAGAGAATTAAATGGTGTAAGGTAAGGGCCCAGCTCGCCTGCGAGTGAAGTGCCAGTGGTGGTTTTTTGAGAAACTCTGAGAAACTGCTGGGCTGCAAGGCCAGACAATCCGCACAGCCGCGGTGCCCGGTGCCGCCGCGAGCCTTGCAGCCGCGCCGGGACGGTCCAGCCACCCCGTTCATTTTTTTCCCGTGGTTTTGATGATTTTGGCCGGTTCTGATGGAGCTGCCGCGTCGGTGCGCTGATGGGGAGGGGTTCGGGCTCCGGTCGAGCATCTGGGTGAGAGGATGGCAGGAGCGGAGTCGCGGTGCTCCGTGCTGCTCGCCGGGGACATCAAACGACACCGGGGCTCTGCGAGGGAGGGGACGATGGAGCCGGGGGCTCCGTCCACTGCCCGCCCCGTCCCAAGGAGGGGCTGTGCTGGGTGAAGAGGTGTCACAGGCTGGCATGGCACGAGTTTGCCCGTCCTTTGCTGGCAGCCACCCACTGCGGTATCAGCCCCTGGGGCGAGGAAGCCTGGCCGGAGCGCGGCGGGGGGGTGGATATCCACCTGCCCGGCCACACTGTGTGCTGGCAGGGGTGGAGTGGCTGAGGACACCGCCTTGTCCCCACTGCCACCACCAGCCCCAAGCCGCCCTCGCCCACTGTGGCCCATTCCCCCTTTGCAGCGCAGCCCTGGGCCGCACCGTACCTCCGCGCCTCAGTTTCCCCATTGCAGCAGTGGGCCGGTCTTGGGAGGGTGGAGGGGATGCTATGGAACCGAGGGGCTGCTGGTGATCCCGTGGGAGATGGTCAACGAGCCCGAGCCACGGGGATGGGGGGAGGGAAGAGGGGCCCACGGGCGAAGGCCGCGTAATAAGGATATTTGTTTTGCCTGTTTTGCAGAGTTTCAATGTTCTGACTTGCTCTAAGATGAAGGTATGGAAGTTTGCAGCCATTGCATCGATGCTCCTCAGTTCCATGTTATCCATTTTAGTTTGTAGAGACATGTTCAACGGAAGCCGGAAATACAGCCCCTTGCCTTCCTCGCCGTCTTCCTCACGGGCATCCTCCTCCTCCTCCTCCTCCTCCTCCTCGCTGCCGGCAGCTCCACGGAGATCCCCACGGGCCCTGCAACGCCACAGCTCGCTGCTCTCCCAGTGTAAGCTGCTGCACCTCTGCCCCGGGGCCACCGTCCCTCCCGCACCCGCAGGATCCAGCCCCAAATCCCCAGCGGGACACGCTTTCGGCTCGCAAGCAAAACCCGACGCAGCCCGGCGGGTTTATTCCCCGTTTGCTTTCCCCGCCGCCCTCTCTTGCTTCTGTGCATCCCCTTTATGATGGTTAAAGCGGAGCTTGGGGTGCAGCAGGGAGGGGCTCGGGGCGGGGAGCGAGGGGTCCTGCAAAACTGCAGCCGCTGGGCACCCGACTTTGGTGCAAGCACGTCAGCTCTCCGCGTAGGGAAGCTGAATGCAAACAGCTCGTCTTAATGCAAAGAAGCTGCTTTTTGAGCTCGAAATGTGCTTTTTTACTTTTTTTTTTTTTTAATTTTTTTTTTTTTTTTTATTTCTGCACTATTTTTACAAATGCAAAATGTCAAACAGGAGCTGAAAACGAGGGGGAACGGCTGCGCTCTGCGAGGAGGCAGCGGCTTCCCCCGCAGCGCCGCTCGCCCCTTCACGCTGGCAGCGTACAGAAAATCTCCTGCGTGTTTGTTTTGATTCCAAACCAGAAGAACTATTTTTTGGGTTGAAATTTGGAAATCGATGACAAGCTGTCAAATTACTCTTTCCTCCGTCTTTCCTGTGCCTCCCCTGGCTCTGAGCTGGACTAACGCTGGTTTTAGGGTTAGGACAGAAGGACTTGGACGTTGCTGGGGACAGTTTGCATGTTGGCTGCTGGCCCAGGGGGGCTGGGGGGGCAGCCCTGCCTCCCCAGGCCATAGGAAAACAGTCAAATATTACTTTTCTTGGTGTTTCTCCCCAGTCCTGTCGCAGCTTTTCTGCAGCATCGTCTGTTGGTCAGGATCAGGTGTTTTTTTTTCCCATTGTTTTATTTTTTTTGCACATTGGGGTGATGCCACCAAGGAGCAGCCCTGGCATCTTTAATTCCTGCCGGGATGCCCGTTCCCCGGCCACAGCCACCTGGAAACCATGAGTGTGGCAGGAGTTAATTGGGGGGGGGGGTGTTTTCCCCCATAAATAATTGACTTTTAAGCATGCACTTGATGTTGTGCAGTGGAAGGGGCTGCTTGGGATAACTCTAGACAGGGGAAGGCTGATAGGGAGGGAAAAATAAAATAAGGCAGGAGGGGGAAAGGGGAGGGAGGAGTTTGGGGTTTTTTTCACCCTGCTGCCTTCTTGCCCTCAGGGGTTGGGGGTGGCTTGGCTGTGCCCCCCCTTCCCTGCACCCACCCTGGGGCTCCTGAGGCTGCGGAGATCTCTGGCCTTGGGGTTTGGGTTTTAAAGGCTTCGGGCACCTCGTGTACATCTCAAAGATGGCTTCTGGGAGACGCTGCGGTTCGGCCACGCGTGGTCAGGCTGCAGGGACGAATTTTGCAATTTTGCAATTGCTACCGGACACAGAGGGAGCCGGGAGCCAGAACTGGGGGACGGCCACCCCCCGGGGCGGGGAGGGGGGAAACCTCCATCCTTGGGGCAGCCACCTGGCATGGGGAAACATCCATCCTGGGGGATAGCAGCCAGCCCCAAGGGACCTCCATCCTGGGGGACATCCTCCTGGCCGGGGGGACATCCATCCTGGGGGGCAGCCACCTGCCCCAGGGGACTTCCATCCTGGGGGACATCCACATGGCCAGAGGGACCTCTGTCCTGGGGGATAGCAACCAGCCCCAAGGAACCTCCATCCTGGGGGATAGCAGCCAGCCCCAAGGGACCTCCATCCTGGGGGATAGCAGCCAGCCCCAAGGGACCTCCATCCTGGGGGACATCCTCCTGGCCAGGGGGACATCCATCCTGGGGGATAGCAACCAGCCCCAAGGGACTTCCATCCTGGGGGACATCCACGTGGCCAGAGGGACCTCCATCCTGGGGGATAGCAACCAGCCCCAAGGGACCTCCATCCTGGGGGATGGCCGTGGCCCTGGGGGATCGCCGTCCTGCGGGACATCCACCCACCCCAGGGCACCTCAACCTGGGGGACAGTCACCCACCCCAGAGAACGTCCACCACCCTGGGGGGGACACCCGGTAACGTCGTCCCCTTTCTCTTGCAGACAGCAGCTTGCTGGAGAGCTACACGGAGGGGGAGATCCGGCAGCTGATCTCGGCGCTGGTGGAGCGCTACAGCCAGGCCATGAACTCGGGCGGCCACGAGCTGCCGCTCTTCCCCCGGGGGGGCAGCCGCAGGAAACGCGCCCGCGCCCGCCACAAACCCTGCGCCCTGAAGGAGCTGGAGGTGAGCGTCAGCGAGCTGGGCCTGGGCTACGAGTCGGATGAGACGGTGCTTTTCCGCTACTGCAGCGGCACCTGCGAGGCGGCCGTCCGGAGCTACGACCTGTCGCTGAAGAGCATGAGGAGCAGGAGGAGGATCAAGAAGGAGAAGGTCCGGGCTCGGCCCTGCTGCCGGCCGCTGGCGTACGACGACGACGTCTCCTTCTTGGACGCCTACAACCGCTACTACACCGTCAACGAGCTCTCGGCCAAGGAGTGCGGCTGCGTGTGAAGGGCCGGGGGTTCCCCCCCCACCACCCCCCAAGGAGGAGCGGGTGGAAGAGGTGATGCCCCGGCCCCAAAACCCCGCTGGCCGCCAGGCAGAGGGACGGGGGGGGCTGCGGCGGGGGGGGGGGGGGGAGAGGGACGAGCCCCAAACCTCTGGCTGGAGGAGGAGAGACTGAGCTGCTGGCGCGTCCCTCGCTGTTCCCGTCCCGCGCGCTGCACAGGACTAGAGACGTGGCTGTCGGTGCCAGGGAAGGCTGCGGTTGTTGGAACGGTGACGGTTGCTTGTTGTGTCCCCCCCCCCCACCACCCCCACCCCCGGGGGTGGCCCCCGCGGTCCCTGTCAGCACCTCCGGGGAGGGTGACAGCGGGTGTGCAACACGCACAGGGCGCGTCCCGCGCGCGGGGTGCGCGGGGTGCGTTCCGTGTCCCACGTACAGGTGACGTTCCCGGCAGAGGGGGTGTTGCAGAGGGGGTGTCCCCCCCCCGCACGGGGCGTGCCACGCGCCGCAGGGGTGACGGGTGCGCTTGTGCACGGGGGGGGGTGTTGTTGGTTGTTGTGGAGGTGTTGCTGCGTGTGGTGTGGTGCCAGTGGCGTGCGGTACTGGAGAGGGTGCACTTGTGCGCGCGTGCGACGGGGTGCACTTACAGGTGTGTGTGTGGGGGGGGGGGGGGCATTAGGTGGCTGCGGGTGCCCCGTGCTCCCCCAGGACACGGCGGGCTGAGCCCTGCGGGCTGTAGCTGCCCCGCGCGGGGGTTTCTGCGGGTTTTGTGAACCTCGGTGCCAGGGTCCCTGCACTGCCAGGGGCAATTCAGCCCCCCCAAATCCCTGTGTTTGGGAGCAGAGAGATACCGACAGTCGTTTGCCCTCCGGGGAAAGGCGCTGGCTCTGCTCCCCACGCCCGCTCATACCCCCTTTGCCTCGCTCCCTGCAGCCCTGGGATTTTCTTCTTAAAACACATGATAATCTGAAGTAACTGGATTAACCTCCTGTCCGTCCCCCCCCCCCCCCTGCGGGCAGCTGGGCTGGAGACCTGCCACCAGCGGGGAGGTGACAGAGCCTCGCGAGGCCACCAGCCAAGCTGTGGTTTGCAGCGCGGGCAGGAGCATCCACGGTTTGGCGTCCGCCGAAAGCCGGACCGGCTCTGCCGGCCGCGGCACGTGAGTATTGCCCATCACCTTGGCGGGGCTTGAATCGGGCGGGAGAGGGGACTCAGGCCTGGGGTTTGGCTCCGGTTCGCATTTACAGCAGTGTCACTCTTGTTTACTCTGCGGAGAAATAAATGAGACCGCAGACTTTTGCATTCTCTGGGCAGGCTATATTTGTTGCCTTGGGATTGATGGGTTTTCTCCCCTTGGCCCTCTGCCCAGAAAAAGCAAATTATAAACAGAAGGAGAATATTGGTGTCATGTCCTGGGCATTAACCAATGAAAGGGAAAATGCTCCACTGGCCGCCCCCGGATCGTAACAGTGTCCCAGCTCCTCGGTGCAGCTAAATGGGGAAAAAAAAAAAAAAAAAAAAATCCCATGCAACTCCATCCCAACGTGGTAGCGATGAGGAGCAGAGGGATACTGCTGCGGGGTTTCGGGGAGCAGTTCAGCATCTCCTGGGACGGGACAGCTCGGTTTGGGATAGGAGACAGCTCCCCCCACCCCCAGCATCTCCCATGGGTGACCAGCAGCGCTCCTGACCTCTGCAAAGGGCCGGGCTGGTGGGTTTTTTTTCTTGCTTTTTCCTCCAAACAGTCAGTGCTCTTGGCTGAGCGGAGCCAGGACGTAGTGGAGCAATGTAAACACCATCCTTCAGCAGGGCTGCCCGCGCAGCCGGCGTCCTGGGAAGGCAGCCTGCACTCTGTAACACGGAGTTTTCCCCTCACTGATGGGAAAGGGCAAAGGCAGCCGTGGGTGTGGGGGCGAAACCCGTCCACGGGGCATCGCACACGCTGGTGAAGCGGCAAGGGCTGGCAAACCTGCACCCCGGGGATGGAAATGCTGCCGGGACCAGCCAAGCTCGAGCCACGCCGCAGGTGCACAGAGCTCCCAAAACAGCCTCGCGCGGGGCTGCAGCGCCGCGAGGGAGCGTTTGTGCCGCTGGGTTTGGATGGGAATGGAAAAGCTGGCCCACAATAAGCAGCCGGGGGAAGCACTGCAGGAGCAGGATGGGGCCAGTCGACGGGCAGCCGTCGGCGTGATCCGCGCCGCGCTCACGACAGATAAGCAGCTCACTCTTGACTTTAAACAAAACCAAACAAAACAAAAAAAAAACCATGCACCCAAATCTAATAATAATAATAACTGCACTCTCAAGGGTTTGGGTGCTTTCCAGTTCTCACTACTATAAAACTAAAATTAGTTTTGTTGCAGAAGCCTCCAGTGAAAAAAAAAAAAAGGAACTAGGGCAATAAAGCAAGGTAAGGTGTTACAGAAGCAGTGCAGGACCAGGCACCGTGGGAGGAGGATTTGCAGCAGGGCTTCCCGGAGTTGTGTTCCCCTGAGCCCAAGGAGGTGTCTGGGAGATGTCAGAGCTGTTGCGTTTCCCCAAGGGTCCGTCTGCACCCTGCTGTGGGAAATTTTTTATGATACCTAGGGATTTGGGGTGCTGTGATTCGCAGATGCCCAGTGGAGAGTGTGAATGGGCTGACGGCTCCCAAGGGGACCCCCCTCTCACCAGGGTCTTGCTGGGAGCAGCGGGGAGGCGAGGGGGCTCGGGAGCAGGCGGAGGGGACTTGGGCACCCCGGACCTGCTCTCGTACCTTCCAGCTGCAAAACCCCCCCGGGTGCCCCCATGCACAGCACGAATCCAGCTTGCAACCCTAAAAGAACAGGCGCACGGGGCGGGGAGGCGGGGAAAACAACGATGCAATGTGTGTGTTACAAGCCAACATGAGTAGATCTAAATAATCTTTTTTTTTTTCTTTTTTTTTTTTTTTCTTTCACCCTGCCGGCAGCTGAGCACCGGCCTGTGCAGAGGTGGAGGGGAAGCGCCTGACATCTGCCGGCGTGGCGGCCAAGCGCCCTGCGCCTGCTTCTTTTTTTTCGGGGGTGCAGTTGGGTGGCAGCTGGGCTTTGCAACCACAAAACTCCCTGATCGGGTCTCGGGGTTTGCTGGGGCATCGCAGCCGTGGCCAAAGTTTGGCTTCTGCTTGCCAGCCTTCTTTCCCGCGTCCCCCTCGGGGCCCGTCTGCTGCGTGAAGCTCCTTCGGCTCCGCTCCGTCGCTCGACCCGTGCCGTCCTGCGCCGCTTCGCTGCCGCCTGGGCATGGAAATGTGGTTCCAATAGAAAGGCTGATATTTCCCTAATGCTTTCCATTTCTACAGCCCTCGCTGCTGTAATAGGAGCTGGAGCTGTCCGGAAGAATGTCTACAATGCAGAAAGGGCAAAAAGGACGGAAAATTCCCCACTCAAAGCTACAGCAAAATCTCATCTGGCTCCTTCCTCATCATCCCATGCGTTATTTAATGTTAATAATAATAAATAGCGTGCAGGGTCTGTCAGGGGGAGGGGGGTGTTTTTAGGTTGTTCTTTTTGCAGCTTGCCTGTCTTGCTGCAGCTTTGCTGTTCGCAGCGGCGTCGCTCCCCGGGAGAGGAGGGTGTTTCACAGCGTTTGAAAAATCCGGAGGTTTGGAAATACGAGGAGATGTTTAAAACTATTCTCATGGTTGTGACAGCGCAAAATATGAGTGTTATGCTATCCCGGCTCTCCGACAATGAGTTATGGGACGTTTCATTGTGTTTTACTCTACACATCTATATACGTACGCGCCTGTGTTTGTGTAAGGCTGGCGGGTGCAGGAGGCGGCCGAACGCCGCGGCTCCGGCTCTGGCTCGGCTCCACCCGGCACTCGCAGCGGTTGGGATCCCATTTGCTGACATGGTCTCACTCCCGATTTGGTATCTGTGAGGGGGAAATGGGTCTAACATCATTGTTTCCACTTGATGAAAGCACTCGCAAAGGGAGCGTTCCTTATTTAAACAGGTCCAGAAACTTGCTGGGAAGAAATCACTTTCCCGATTTATCAAGACAAATTATTTTTCGGCAGTATTCGAAACCTCAGCCTTCTTCCCTTCGTAAGTAGGGCTACCACATGTTTTCGTTCTTGGTTAAACAAGGCGTAGCCTCAAACTTGAGGCCTGAGAGGAGGGTGGGGGGGGAAAAAGGGAAAAAAAAAAAAAGGAAAAAAAAAGCCTTGTTTCACCGCATGGGCGGGAGCAGGGTGGGAGCGCATGGTCCAGCCTGCGGCTCCGCTCAGCACCGTCCAGATAAACCCATTTCCCTTCCGGTATTGTCGGGTCTGACCGACCATCTGCAGAAGTTGATGCAATGCATCTATATTTTAGATACTCTCTATTTATTCGAAGTAACTTATGTTATTTATTTAGATACCATAGTGTGCCATCTACGTAATGCGTTCTTTCTCTCTCTCCTTTTTTTTTTTTTTTTTAATTTTATTTATTGATCCAAATGGTGCCAAGTGCAGTTTACATTTATTACATTTTTACCATTTATTCTGAACGTTGGGGAAAAAAAATGCAGTATGATATTTTTTTTAAACAAACACAAACTCGGGTGTGATGCTGTTACATACTCACGACGAAGTGAAAATAAAAGGAGGATTATATTGATTTCTCTCTGGTTGCCGTCTTTCACTGCTGCCTGGGGGTAAGTGACGCTGGAGTGACTTTACATCCTCAACCTGGAGATGGGGCTGGCCAGGGAAATGGGAAATTCGGCTTTTCTTTTGGGAGAGCAGAGAGGGCTGAAGGATGGCAGGAGCTTGACTTTATTTTCTAGGTTCCTGCAGAACCCTCCATGCACACCTGCAGACAGCCCCATTTCTTTCATTTCATCTGCTGCAAAACTGTATTTATGCAAACCATCGATTTGAGACATTACCAAGGCTGGATCGCTGCCTGCGTGGGTCTGGGCTGGTTTAGCCACAGAAATAATCATCTTTGCCTCCTTCTTGTAAAGGCGCTTCCAGTTGGCTTGGCTCAAAGACATGCCAATTCTGACAAAATCACATTTAAAAAAAAAAAAAAAGAAATAAAAAGAAAATGCAAGGTTTTGATAAGGTCAGCCAGAAAAAAACATTTCAGTTGCTCATCTGGAAGCAGTGCTGAGGTTAGAAACATGTTTTATTTTATAGGGAAAACATCTCAAGCTCAGCAGCAGGCATCGGCTGGGATCTTGTTGTTCTTCTTATTAGGAAGTTTATGGTGGTTAATATTTTGTTTTGGGTGAAATGTTGCAATTTGAAATCCTGGCCAAGTTCAGGACACAAACACGTCTCAAAGCTGTGGAAAGTGGAAGCGTGGGCACCAGCGCTGCCGCCGCACACGCCCCAGTCCCACCCCAGCTCCTTGTCTCCCTGCAGGGGACAAACCCGGCGGGGACCTGCTGAAGCCCCATTTTAGCACCCAGGAACCCCATTTACCAGACACCGACCCCTTTAAACGCGCATTGATCCCATTTAACATGGGCTACTCCCCCAATTAACACACGACATCTGCAGTTATCACACATCCCCCTGCAGTTAACCAGTTAACACACACTAACCCCACCGAACACACATTACCCCCAATTAACACATATAACCCCATTTTAAGACAATTACCCCCATTTAACACAGATTATGACATTTAAGGTGCAGAGCAGCAGTGGTCCTGATGCAGGGAAGTGCCTGCATCCCCGTTCTTTAACAGCACTACCCCACCCCTACCTCAGTCTGTCCAGAAAAACATGATTTTTATTCTTTTTTTTCACTGAAAAATAGACTGAAATTGTCTAGTGCCCGTGGTGAGAGTTGGTACAAGCTCCTGCATTTGTTTGCAAAACACCTCATTTTGAGCAAAGCCAGTGAGCTGCCCCGCTGCTCTGCTGGGCTTGGCACCGGGTAGTGGGGAACAACTGGGGAAAAAAAAAAAAAAAAAAAAAAAAAAAAAGGAAGCTAAAAACCACAAAGGTTTATAGTGGTTTTTTTTTGGGAATGGAAAAAAAGGTCTGTTTATATTCCCCCCTCATGCCACCCAGAGGCCTGACAGCCGTGGACAGCTCGTGGCCGAGTCAAACATTCACGCTTGAAGCTCCACTTTGTAAATATTTTATGAAATATCTTTTGAGACTCATAAATCTTTGCATGTGTGCACGCATGCGTGCATGTGTGTACGCGTGCGTGTGCACTCCAGAAACTAAGAAAAGCTGCAATCCTGCTGCCAGCCTGTCCAAAAAAAAAAAAAAAAAAAAGGACAAACTGAAGTTTTAATGACCAAATTGGAGAGGGCTGCTTGGAAAATCTGACTCGTCCAAGAGTGCAAAAAAAAAAAAAAAAAAGGAAAGAAAACAACAGTTGCAGGCAACAGCATGAAGCCGGGCTGTGCTGCCGGGCTGGGGCCAGGGATGATTTTGGGTGCAATTTCTTGGAGATGAGGTGCATGTTGCCAGCTTTCATAGTATATGTGGGAGATTTTTCACTGTCTGGTGCTTGCTTTGAAAGCCCATCTTAAAAATTCCAGCTCTCAAATGACGTCCTGTATTAATTTGTTCATTTTTAAGTGGAAAAAGTAACAGGCGGGAAATGGGATGCTGACGGTGCTCAACCCCACCGCTCAGTTTGAGCTTCTCAAAATTACCTCCCAGTAAGAAAAAACACGGGAAAATAAACCCTGCCTGACTTCAAACTGGAAAACATGAAATAAAAGTGAAGACGAGAGTGTGGAGTCTGCAAGTCTTAAAACAAAAACAAAACCAAAACCAAAACAAACACAAACTCATATATATGTCTGTTTCTCTCCCAGTATTTCAGCTAGTACTACTAAAAATGTGAAGCCCAGGAATGACAATATTTGTTGCTTCAGCAGCTGCTGGGGTTTTGCCACAAGGGAAGGAGGGAGCTCGGTGGTGCTGGACAGATGTGGAGAAAATGGTCTCAATAGTTTCATGTTCCCCCTCCCAGCCTCACTGGACAAAACGAGGAGCAGGTTTCCAACGCATAGAGCGGGGGTATCTGCCTGTAGGCTCCAGCAAGCTGGAAGTAATTGCATTTACAGGGTTGGTTCAGGCACCTTCACACATCCAGAAGGACAGACCCAGTGATGAGGGAACTCTGGAGCTTGTAAGGCTCCAGCCGCTGTTTTCAGAATTTTGGTGTATCTGAGCCTTTTCTCTTCCCTTCCCTAAATGCAAAGCTTTGCTGACCTGGGCTCGGTGAGGATTTGTTTCCCCCAAACTCTGCCTCTTCTCTTGGGCACCCCCTGGCCCTGGTGTTTCTGCAGAGCTGAAGGCAGACACTGCTCCAAAAACTCCACTCTCAACATTATTATCTCCCTGTTTTTCCATGAGGAGCAGCCTCTTTCTCACCTCTTGGGGAAATGCCCCTGTAAAGCTCACCCCGTCTCTGCTCTTCGGACCATCTCTGCCCAAAAGTGTCAGCTGGGAACACTTCAGCCTGTCTCCAACCATCTTTGGGTAAAAAGATGAGAGGTTTGGGGTCAAACATCTCATTTTCTCTGTGAGGGACTGACGCAGCCCCTCTTGCTGGTATCTCCAGCTGGGTGTGAAGGCCCGGGGGGGGAACCCACTTGAGCAAGGAGGCTGCCAACCCCAGCACCGGTGTTTGGAGAAAAGCCGGCCTGTGACTTCTCAGCTCAGTCTCCCAGCCCTGGGCCCCCGCGGCGCAGCCATCCAGATGTTTCCCTCGATGAAGTCCCCCCCCTTACAGAGTTTCCCAAGTGCGGTGTCAGCTTTCCCGTCCCCTAACGAAATCAGTCTGTGTGCTGCTCCGTGTCGCCCACAGGCATCCCTTCCCCAGGCCACGGCAATACCGAGCTGCTGCTTAGAGGAGGGGACGGTTTACTGTGATATTTTTGTCCTGCCAACCCCACATCCCCTTCTCAAGAACCGTGGCTTAAAGCCCAGCTGGGTGTAAGCTCCTAACACCCCATGGTCTGCCCAGCCCTGAATGCTTCAGTGGAACTACAGTTCTTATTTTGGTCACCCTCTCAAAGGCAGCACAATTTGGGGGATAAGGGTGACATCCATAAATGTGCCCCCTGCATATTTATTTTGTCTTTGCTCCTGCAGACTCAAAGGCTGGCAGGCCTTGGAGTCAGCAAGACTCCTGCTGCTCTCCCCAAAGCTCACCCACATCCCCAAATCACCCTTGGACCCAAGAGAAGGATCAGGCTGATGAGCCTGGCTGGCCTCAATCTACCAAAATAATCCTAGGCTCAAGCACAAAAGGAGAGAGCTGATAACCCTGGTGCCTCCATTCCCCGGGTAAAAGAATCCAAAACCCTGCAGGACTCATTTCTTTTTGATCAGTGTTAAATGGCTCCAGGTCTTGGAAGCAAAGGGAAAGTGGCTTGGGAGGTTGGCCATAGAAAACTGGGGATTTCTTGCAGCTCTTCTGCAGAGCAGGGGCTCCCAAAATGCTCCCCAGCCTCAGCTGGAGAGGCTGCAGCAGCAGGAGGCGTTAGCAGGGACAGACAAATCATGTTTGACTTTCCCTATAGTTGAAAAAAGTGGTTTTCCACAAGGGTAAATAGCCCAGATTTGGGAGAGCTGGCCCTCTCAGCACGCACGATGTCTACTAAATGGATGTGTCAAGCCCTGTCCCCACGGCCCCCTACGCCAAGGAGCCCAAGACTCTGTCAGGTGCTCTCCTGCCATCCAACATCCCCCTCCACGTCCCAGCCCCTCGTGTCACAGCACACGGCCACCTCGACGCTGGCCGCTGCTCGAAGGTGTGTGTCGCCTGCCATCAGCCATGGGAATTGTTCCGCTTTGCAGAAATACTCCTCATTCTACTTCAGAGAAAAACCCTCCCTAGCCTGGGGCTTCACTTCAGTGTTTCCATCGGGGAGCTTTTCAAGTTTAAAAAGGCATTTCTTTCCACTTAAAAACTACCCTGAGTTTCAATCTGGCTCTTCTCTGTCCCTCAGCACATGATTTACATGTTTCAGGTTAACCTCAACCGAAAACTTTCAAATTTAATTTTTATTGTGCTTTCCTGACAAACCCCTAGCATTGGCTTTGAGTCCAGTCCCTCCCCTTCCCTTCTTCCCTGCAGCCGGCTCCCTTCCCAGCCCTATGCCAGAGGGTCTTTCCCCATCCAGCCTCTTCCCAGCAGGATGGTGCAAAAATACCGGCATTTCCTTGTTCCCAGAGTGCATCGTCACCAAAGTGTGGCATTCCCAGAAAATGTCACCAGTGCCAGCTCTGGCGGGGTCCACCTGCATGGCAAGGCATCTCAGCCTCGGGTGGTCGGGCAGACTTTCGCCGTTATTCGTGCCTTCCTTGTATAGGCTTTGGAGAGGCTTCTTTTTCTCCCAGTTTTTTTGCAACTTGGGGGTGTCCTAGACCAATGGGTGGGAGAATGTTTTTCCACTGAAAAGTCTGTAGTGAAATTTTTTCTGGGAATTTGTCCTGTTGCTCCTTGAACTGGTGCAAACCTGGAATTTCAGCTGCTCAAGGCGCAGCCTTGTCTCCTCACCCTGAGCTCACCTGCAGAACGTTTATCCCTTACCCACATCCATATCAGCTCAATCAGTAGTGTTAAAGTCTTAAATTTCTCCAGCTGTTCTGAACTGAACTGGCTCTAATTAATGGAAAGAGCAACAGGGTCGGTTGACGAGATTCCAGGACCTACAGGCTAAAGAAGGAGAGGTGTGCATGGCTGAAGGCAGGCAAGGCAGAGGCACAAGCGTGGGCAATTATTTGGCAATGAAAAATGATGCCTCACAAATTTATTGCTCTTCTTTGAAGCAGTCAGCAAGCACATGGCTAAGGAATATGTGGCACATTTTTCTACCTGAATTTCCAAAGGGGTTCACTAAGGTCCAGCAAGGGCTCTTCAAGAAGCTAAGCAGCCTCAGGAAGGTCTCATCTAGACAGGTGCTGCTGGGAGGACGGGAAAAAGATGGGAGGTGTAAAGATTCAGATTTCAGAGTGTTCTCAGGCTTGTGCTGATGAATGTATTCCACTAATCTGCAAAACAAAAAACAAAGGTGGCAGAGGTTGCTAATGAAAATAAGGGACTCGCAATGCTAAAGACAAGGTCTTGCTGATGATCCTCCTACAGAATGCCTGCGGGAAGAAATGCTGAGGGGATTCTTTAGAAATGTTTGCTAAACGTTGCTGATGGAGAAAACAATTGCGTCTCTGTATGCATTGCTGGACTCTGAGCTGATTTTCCTCATGGAAACATCCCGAGGTCAGGACAGACCTTTGAAAAGCTCAGCTCAGGGATCAGTAGCAATCAGGAAAACAAACTGAGTGTCCAGAGTTATCGGCAGGGAGCCTGGAGGGGCACAGCTGTGTCCACCGACCCCATGCAATGAGCCTCCCCAACCTGAAAAAGAAATAATTTCCAGTGATACGACCTGAACAGCAGCAGGAAGCTCAATAATTTATTCACTGTTTTTTAAATACATGGCCTAGGGGCATCAGCCGATGACAGAAGTTGCGATGTTTGAGGCACAGAGGAGGAAGCTCATCTCGTGCTGGTCCTGAGTGTCTCCTTGCCACAGGGTGCTGCAGGCACTAAAACTTACGGTTCTTTCAGGGGCATCCTTGGCACCCCGCACCTTACCTGCACCAGTCTGCTGCTGTCAATCCCCTCCACAAGCGCACACTGTCTTGCTAACCTGTCCAGAAAAACAGCCTTGTAAAATACATTGAGTTATTTTCTGCCCATTTAGCATCCTGATGCAGCACCACAACGACAGTCAGGGATAGGCCGAGGCAGAGCAAGGGCAGGACTGGGGATGGGGGCCTGGGAGAGAGGAGAGTGGCCAGTTCCTCTTGCAGCAGCAGGCAGCCTCGTGGTGTGGCTGCTCCTGCAAGCCACAGCTTTACATAGTACGGAGTCCTTGAAACAGGTTTATGATAGATATTGTTATTTCAGCTTCCCCTCTTGGCCACTTGTTTCAGCTCTCCAACCCGTGGACCTGATCCAGAAACGTTTGCAGAGATGGAAGGTGAACTTCTCCAAAGACCAAGTTGCAGCCAGCAAACAAGTTGTTCAGGTAACTAATAGATCAACAAAAAAGACAATGTACTACTCTATCTGACAGTCTGTTCGCCAGTAAGACAAAGACATACAAACACCTAATTGCTTCCTTGTCCTCGTTTGCTTCAAAGCTCCTTTTGTCCCTCCATTTCCATCAAGTTCAATCATCCTGTGAAATTGCAACCCGCCAGCAAGGACAAAAAGATCGTAGCACAGCAGAGAGCTGATCAAACAGCAGTTACAGGAACCACTCAGACAGATCAGGCACAACCCGGTACCTGGCTGCTGTTGTCTGCAAGAATTGACAGGCTCTGCAGACGTGCAGAGACCAGCCAGCTCCCACCATGGGTTTCAACCACTTGCGCCACTGAAAGTAGCGCTGGTATCTCTCGGTGTCCCCACTCAGCTCCCACAGGTACCGTGCCAGGTCCCCAGGGCTGGCAAAGTCATCGACATGGATGAAGGAGTCAGGGGGCAAGAAGCGCTCGTAGTTTTCTCGAGGAGGTCCCAGCACGACAGGAACGGTGCCAGAGGACAAGGCATTCCTCCAGAGCTTCTCCGTGATGTAGTCTTCATGTTGTGAATTCTCGAAAGCCAGGTAGAAGCTGTACTGGGACACAGTGGGAAGGAGTTTGTCCCAGGGCAGAGGCAAGTGATACCGCCCATAGACATCCACAGTGATGTGTTTCTTCAGCTCCTGGTAGTATTTTACCCGGCGGGAGCCTGCTCTCCAGTTGCTGACTACCCAGGCCACCAGTTTGGTCTTGGGTGGGATGCTGAGGGGCTGGGGCTGGGCCAGGAGCTGCAGCTCCCCATAAGGGGTGAAGATGTCCGAATCTCTCCGGTAAGACATGGTCAGGTTGAAGAGGTTGGCCATGGCGCCTAAGTTGGGAGAGTGACTTGGGGACTCCAGGTTGAACCAGATCCAGAGCTGGGACGGGAGTCTGGGGAGCTGGGCCAGCCTCTTTGTGTCCCTGCACACATCCCTGTGATGCATAATCACAGCATCAGCCTTTTGGGACCAGCTGTGGTTGACGGTGAAATGGCAGTCCGGGGTGCTGTAGAGCTCCGAGCAGTTTATAAAGTCGAAGCGGTGCCCAAAGGGCCATTTCCACAGCAGGATGGTCAGCCTGTGCTCACCCTTTGGGGGGGCGCTGCTATTTCCAGCGTGGGCCGTTTGTGCAAAGGGACCGGAATTGTAATGCTCTGGCTCAGAAGTCCTGAACCGATGAAAAGAAACAAAGAGACAGGAGCTGAAGATGAAGCTGAAGAGCAGGAAGGTGAGGAGTTTCTTACAGGAGACCTTCTTTCCTTCCACGAGCTCCATGAATGGATCTGCAGACACCACAGACAGGGTGAGGGGCGGTGGGTGCACAGAGACGCCGGCGGGGAGGTGGCTCTGGGTACACAGCTGGGCAGGGAGGTACGCGCAGGGCTCAGGGGACAGCGTGAAGACCCGAGGTACATTTACGTCCAGCCACCTCTCTGCCGAAAGAAAGGCCGCCTCTAGAGCGCCTTACAGGAGGTGCTGACGGACACGCTCACCCCGAGGGCACCGCCGCCCTTCCCCAGCCCCCCCCCCCCGGCTTCCCTCCACCCCCACCCACGGCCTTCCCTCGCCAGCCCCCTCGCCTCCCCCCTCATCTCCCAGCCCAGCAGCGAGCTGCCCCTCGCCAGCTCCCGAGGCGGCGCCATGGCCCCGTCGCGGGGAGGCCTCTCCCGCTCCCGCCGCCCCCCAGCGGCCTCAGGGCCTGGCAGTCGCTCCGCCCCTTCCGCTCGTGTGCTCTGTCGTGATTGGCTGGCGGGAGCAGCCGCCCCTTCCGATTTACCCAGAAGCACATCAGAGGCGGAAGGCCTTTCCTCTACCTACACGGGGCTGCCATTTTGGTTCGGCCGCCATTTTAGGACAGGGTGCCACCGTTATATGGCAGAGAGGTGCCCGCTTTTTTAATCATTATACTGCGCTGTGATTGGCTGACGGCCCTTTCTCAACACCATCGTACCCTCACGGTCTCAGGCAGCCCTGTGATTGGCTGGCCGGACCAGCTACCAGTGTATCCTGAAGTTCATCAGAAAAGGACTGCTATGTCCTCTCCCACGGGAGACCACCGCTTTTGGCAGTGTCGTTGCCCCACATGTTCTCAAGCAGTCCTGTGATTGGCTGGCTTCTTCCTTTGCACCAGAAAATACTCATGTATAAAAAAGATATACTTATATATACTATATATATTGTATGTATATATATTTATATGCTACCTATATTTTATATAAATGTGTATTGTGTAGTTCTATACAATATATAGAAGTACAATATACATACAATATATAATACCTTCTATACAATATATATTCTATATAATACCTTCTATACAATATATAGAAGTACAATATATAGAAGTACACATAAAGGACTGTATAAATGTGTATACTTTTTAAAAAATTAAATATAGACACACTGTTTAATATACTCTTCTATATATGTATAGCTGTGTATATTTATAAAGCTATAGAGTTTAAAAACATGTAGCCATAAAAACATAGATATAAAATGGCCAGGCTGGTGTCCTCCCACTTTGCCATGTTTGGGGTGGGCAAAAACTTCACAAGGGCAGAGGGGTATCAAAAGGATGGGGGCATGGAGCCCAAGAGCAACAGACCCATCCAAGGAAGCCACCAAGGGACCCCCAGCACAAATCCTGTCATGTGCAAAGACGAGCCCCTGAAGCCGAGCCCAGCCCAGCAGGATGACAGGAGCTCTGGGGCAGGCTTTGGGCTTTGCATGGGGCTGCAAGACACGGGCAATGCTGCCACTGTACATGGAGAGCAAAATGTCAACTTCAGAAAAACATGTGTGTGGGCACAATAAGGAAAAGGCCCCAAGGTGATCCCCAAAAACATGACACAAACTAGAATAAGCCAATGGGCCCATGAACCACAGACTGGATGTTGATGTCAGTGTCACACAGAGATATCGAGTGGAGGAGTTCCTTTTCCCTGTGTTCATGGGGGATCTGACAGCTACCTGTAAATCATTCTCATGCACAGGCTGGTGCTATATGTATTTCCTTGTCCTTCAGTTGATGACCTCATTAAACATTTCAAAACAGCTTATTTGTACTAATTAATGGCCTTGTTTGTCACTGTGTGTTTTGCCTCGGTGTCCTGTGAAGAGTAGCCACAGCCTTCCCAGCACAGCTAGCACCTGTATGACCACCACCCCTCCAACTTCCAACAGTCTGTCATAACACCAGCACCAGCGATTTTATCACCGGCATCCTGCTGGTTACTCCTCTATACCAGGTAACAGTCATGGTCTTTCAGGTCTGCAACACCCCATTGCTTTTACTGGCCCACTTGCTGTGGTCTCTAAGAGCATGGGGCTGCTGTCTGTGTCCCAAAGCCCAGGTCTTGCTGGTTTTGCAGTACACAGGACTGCCTAACCAGACAGTCTTGATTGCATGCCAACACTGACCTAAGGACGAGGAATCCCATATAGCACCAGCTTGCACTCCACCACAGTCTTACAGGTAGCTGTAAGATCCCCCAAAACAACAGGATTTCTAGCAAAATCTGGTGGATATGGCAGCTCTTATCTTGTTTATCAGTGTACAACTGACAGACATGATAAGAAAATAGAGAGGGAAGCAATGCCACCCTGCAATCAGAGGTGAAAACAGAAGTTTGCACATCCCCTCTCTCTTGTACCCAGTGCCTCTCACAGCCTGAGTCAGGTTCCTCCTCCAATAACTATTGAAAAAAGAAAGGACTGTTGCAACTTACCTCTGGGCTTGGTCCTGGTGAGAAAGTACGCCGTGAAGGTGAGCACTGAAGTGGGTGACACAACCAGGAAAGAGGAGAAGAAAGGAGGGCACAGACGTAGGGAGGGATTGGCAGTGTGTTCCAGGTGTTCCCCTGCATCTTGAGCTGCTCGTGCCAGTCACTACCACCAGAAACATGTCATCCGATAGTAAAAGCTATAATAAAGGCAAGACAGATTGCTCTTTGACAAATTAAGGAACAGTTAAATAAAGCAGCCCAGATGTATTTTGCGGTTAAAGCATACCTTACCACTGAAAGCACCTCTGCATTTGCACTAGTCTGCTTCCTTTGTCAGTCTCAACCCACAGGATTTGCCTGTGATATACTTTCTTCTTCCCCTTGTGTTGCAGGAGGACAGCTCTGTTTGGGAAGGATGGGCAAAGCCGGCATGGAGCAGAGGTGTAGGCATCAGGTCTGCAAGTCCCCCTGCCAGCTAATGGGCTTCATGACACAGCTGTCCCCCACCCTCACACCAAGCCACATCCCTCTCTCACCTTTCCCAGATCTTGGATCTGATGACTTCAGCAATCACCATGAGCTTCAGAGTAGATGAGCACTTGAGCAAGAATGCCTGAGAGATCCCTCCTGAGTACAGCACTGCAGACCATGCTTTGTAGCATCTCCAACCCAGGTGAACAGGCATTGCACATCACGGTCTGTGGACATGAAAAGGTTGTTTGTTTGCCATGGCCAGAGTGAATTGATCTTGCATCAAGCTTGGCTGCACTCGACCAGGATATTAAAAAGTCATTATGTGTTATTATCAGGCTTAGGTATATTCAGCTGTAAATATGTCTTGTTGGTCTGAAATTAAATTCACGGAAAGAGTTTTAATACAGGTTTGGGGCTGGCTTGGGTGGGAAAGGGGAATGCAAATGGACAATATAGGGTGGAAGATTTTACATTTTCAGGTTTTCTACCAGCAGGTGTGTGTTTCCTGGGACAGAGCTGGACGTCACTTGAAATGTGTCCAGGTGCCTCCTGCAGACTTGAGAGCACTCCAGCACAGGTGAGAGCGAAAAATATACCATGGCATGAGGGATGGGGGCCATAATTCATGGTTTGCTCACCCCAGGTTGACCCAGGCAGCCTCAGGACTCACAGCTTCTCACCTGGGCTTGAGAAGGTACCAGCCATTCAACTGTTCTGCCTAGAAATTCCACACTTGAGAAACTGTGACTTCTTGCCCTTTCCCCATGGCACAGGCTACACCTATACTAGTGACTTAAACAATACAAGGGCACAGGCTCTGGATTTAATTCACCTAAAGGCTGTAATTTGGAATGGTCCATGGCCCAGATTTGGCATGATCCAGCTAGCGCTGTGCCAAATGTGACCCAGGTGCAGTTTGGGAGCTATCAGGACAAACGACCATTCCCTACAGGTAGTCCACACGTGGCCACTCCTTGGTGGCAAAAGGATTTCTCTAACGTGAACATGTCCCAGCCACACTGGTTAGCCTCAGGAGAAGAGACTTGTCCTACAAGGGTAGATGCAGTCATGAAGTTCATGCAGATGGCATTAGCCAGCTTTCTTGCTGAGGGTCCATGAGCTCCTCAGCCAGCAGCACAAATGAAGACCCTGAATGCCCAGTTGTCCCCAGATGTAGAGGAGAAAGAAGATTTGAGTTTCCCAGCACCACGGGAAACCCTGAGTTGAAGGATCCTGAAGCATCAGATAAGAGGCTTCAGGCAGGTGGAAAAACCAAGATTTTTGTACCCTTGAAAACCAGGACCATAAGGAACTTAAGCTCAGCAAGAGTATTTCATGTAAGTGAAACAAATGAGCAAGTGTGGAGAAGCCATGGAAAACAGTCACAAAGCTGTGGATTGAGAATTGTTCTGAGTGGCACACAAGACGTGAAGTGACAGATCACTTAGTCCAGAAGGTGATGTGAGATTGTAGCACAGACAGAACAAAGAGGCCATTCAGGTAATAGACTTGGCAGGACTAAATGTGGTTGACATGGAGATTTATTGTTATATGATGAATAGTCTCAGTAATCCCTACATCTGAAGACAAATAATGCTGTGTTTTGGAGAAGCTTCCTGGTTATTACCCTTGCTGATCCAGCAAATGACGGTGGAGCTTCAGATGCTGAGCTCTCACCCAGGTAAACACAGGAAGATGCAAGGGCTGAACTCCCTGTGACAATGGAGCAAACGTCACTCACCCAGGGATGCTAGCAGGTGAAGAGCTCAGACCATTTACTTTCAAAGAGGTCACCAAGCACAGCTAGTCCACAGTGATGGATTTGCAAACACACTGGATTCATCTACATTACTAAATAAGTGGGCCAAAGACTAGTTTTCATCCCTAAGGCCAAGTGACACTGCTTGACTCCCATCCCCACTGCTTCTCAGTCAACTGCAGCTGCATCCAAGCTTTTTCCTAGGAATGGTCCCTGCCCTGGGCTATCATTGGACCATGTCTAGGTGCTGTTTGAAGGGTGCTGTTTGGCATGGGCTAAAATCATTCCAAGGTGTGCCCAGTACAGATGATAATGTGATCATGTCTAGACCCGTGCCCTGGCTCCATTTAGTTTCCCATTGCATATGTAGCATGTGGGGAAAAGCCATAGCCCAGGGCTATGTCTGAGGGGTGAGTTCTTGGAAGCATTTACTTAATCAGACACTTTGTCCCAAGACAAGACAAAGAGTCCAAGAGGACAGGACACATGTCTCACAGCTCCATCAGCAATATATCTCTGTTAGTATCAAGGCATTTAATGTTTGCATTAAAAGTAACTGGAGAAAGGTCTCTATATACCTCAAAATCCTTTGAAAAGCTTCTGCAAAATGTACAAGGGAACAACACTACATTTCCCTGCTCCAGTCACTTTGGGCAGACTGCAAAGAGTAAAAGCAGGGCAAAGCAGTGGGAGGAATGAAGAATTCCTTTGCAAAGGCTCACCAGGGAGCTCTGCCCCGGGGCACTCACAGCTGCTGTCTCCAACTGCTCCCTGCTCGTGTCTTGTAGAATATTTGTTGAGGCTTTCCAGGAATAAAAATGTTTTGGGAGTTGATCATCAATAGGCAAATACCAGCATGGATCCAGTGGTAGTCCTAAAGATGCACGTAGTCATAAGCTTCAGTGGATAGGATGGGTAGGTCTTGTCCAAACATGATGACTGTTGATGCTCCTCTCCATCACCTTCAGCCTTTTTAACTGCACAGACATAAAAGAAGTGTCAATAGGCATTCTCACCCTGCTGAATTTCTCATGTGGGTTTCCAGCATAAGGGAGGAGGATCAGGGAGACGGGAGGGGCCCAACCCCAAATATACAACAGGTCCTAAGATGCTGAGCACGTTGTCTGTTCCTCACCATATAACCACGTGCCCTGGTTGGCATCCAGCATTGAGTTTCTGATCTTCTAGGCTAGACCCACCTCAGGGCAGAGCCCAGTAACAGCAGAGCAGAAAGATGCAGCCACCAAGAACAAATTTAACAAGGCCTGATCCAGAGCCCTTTGATGTCAGCAGGGAGACTGGGATGGGAGTGTGAAGATGGCAGCCAGCCCTGAACACCAACAATCCCCCAAACCCTGCATCCCTTTAGCCATCTGCCTCCCTGGGTGGGCCAAACCTCTTTACCACTGTCTCTCCCCAGACTGCCCCATGATTTTGCTCTATCTGTATTATATCACCAGTTCTGTGCATTCACCGGGGCCACAGCTCCTCCTGGAGAGCACCACCACCCTTTGGCACGAGTCTGACACCTTTGGGGAGCCTAGGCCAGGCAGCCCCACAGGCTTCAGCCTCCAGGAGAGTGGCAGGCAGTGGTGCAGGAAGGTTGTGAACTGTTTGTATTCCCAAGAACATGCTATTTCCTTCAACAGACAAAAAAAAAAAAAAAAAAAAAAAAAAAAAAACCAAAACACAAAACAAACAAGAAAAAAAACAATTACTTGTGCTACTCCCAGAGCTGAACCATGCCAGAGGGATGCCAGTGCTAATGTCCCCACTTGCCCAGGCCACGTTCACACACAGCACTGAAAGGCTCCAGTGGTCTTCTGGGGAGGAAACAAGTTATTCTTCTCCCTATCAGCTTTGGGAATCAGAGATGCCATGTGTCTCCAGCATGCCCAAGTGCATCTGTAAGTTCAGCAAAAAGCTCTTTTCCTTATGATAATTTATGCTTCCTTCCCTGATTCAGTAGCAGTCCAACATGCGGTTTGCGGCTCCCCCCCAGCTGTCCCCATCCTGCCTGTTCCTCAAAATCATCAAATGTCTTTCCCAGGTCAAGAGCCAAGATCCTACATTTCTCAGCATTTAGTAATCAGCATGCAATGGTGTCAGGGTAGGATTTCAGCAACTGCAAATAGTAACACCTCTGAAGTCCATCTTGGTACAAACAATCCAAACAGACAGACCCAGATACTTAGGTAGAAAAAAAGCTACATGGGAATGTAGAAACATCCCTGATGGGTGACAGAGGGCCTGATTTTTAAGTGTGATCATTCCTAGCACACATGTAATCTGAATGCTGCCAACAGGTAACTTTCTGGTTTAGAAACATTTTCACCTCATACAAACCCATCCCATGCCAGGCTTGGGATTTTCTCAACCCATGTGTAAGACCTTGCACTTGGCCTTGTTGAACTTCATGAGGTTTGCCCGGGCCCACCTCTCCAGCCTGCCCAGGTCCCACGGGATGATATCCCTGCCCTCCAGTGTGTCAACCACACCACACAGCTTGGTGTCATCATTGACCTTGCTGAGGGCACACTCAATCCCACTGTCTATGTCACCAACAAAGATATTAAACAGCGCCAGGCCCAACACCAACCCCTGAGGAACACCACCCATCACTGCTTTCCACTTGGACATTGAGCCATTGACTGCAACCCTTTGAGTGTGACCATCCAGACAATTTCTTATCCACCAAGTGGTCCATCTGTCAAATCCATGTCTCTCCAATTTAAGGACAAGGATGTCATGCATGACAGCGTCAAAAGCTTTGCACAGACCCAGGTAGATGACATCAGTTGCTCTTCCCTTATCCACCAACACTGTAACCCCACTGTAGAAGGCCACCAAATTTGTCAGGCATGATTTAGCCTTAGTGAAGTCACGTTGGCTGTCACCAACCACTTTCTTATTTTCCACGTGCCTTAATATAGTTTCCAGGAGGATCCACTCCATGATCTTGCCAAGCACAGAGGTGAGATTGACTGGCCTGTAGTTTCCTGGGTCTTCCTTTTTTTCTTTTTTAAAAATGGGGGTTGTTTCCCCTTCTCCAGTCAATGGGAACTTCACTGGACTGCCACAACTTCTCAAATACAATAGATAGTGGCTTAGCAACTTAATCCACCAGTTCCCCCAGGACCCACTGATGCATCTCATCAAGTCCCATGGACTTATGCACCTTCAGGTTCCTTAGATGGTCTCAAACCTGATCTTCTCCTGCAGTGGGTGGTTCTTCATCCTCACAGTCCCCTCATTTGCCTTCTGCATCTTGGGTGGTGTGGCTGGAGCACTTGTTGGTGAAGAGTAAGGCAAAAAAGTCATTGAGTACCTCAGCCTTCACTATATCCCAGGTGACCAGATCTGCTGTTTCCTTCCAGAGAGGGCCCACATTTTCCCTAGTCTTTTTTTTATCACAGATGTATCTACAGAAGCTTTTCTTGCTGCCCTTGATGTCCCTGGCCAGATTTAATTCAATCAGGGCTTTAGCTTTCCTAACCTGATCCGTGGCTGCTCAGACTCTCTGTATTCCTCCCAGGCTACCTGTCCTTGCTTCCACCCTCTGTAGGCTTCCTTTTTGTGTTTGAGCTTGTTCAGGAGCTCCTTGGTTTTTGCCTTGTCCATTCTTGACTGACTTTCTCTTTGCTGGGATGCATCACCCCTGAGCTTGGAGGAGGTGATCCTTTGAATACTAACCAGCTTTCTTGGGCCCCTCTTCCCTCCAGGGCTTTATCCCATGGTACTCTATCAAGCAGATCCCTGAAGAGGCCAAAATCTGCTGTCCTGAAGTCCAGGGTAGTGAGCTTGCTGCATGCCCTCCTCTCTGCCCTGAGGGTCTTGAACATCACCATTTCACAGGCACTGCAGCCAAGGCTGCCATTGAGCTTCACACTCTCTACCAGCCCCTCTTTGTTGGTGAGAACAAGGTCGAGCACAGCCCTTCTCCTCGTTGGCTCCTCTATCACTGGGAGAAGGAATTTATCATCAACACATTCCAGGAACCTCCTGGACTGCTTATGCCCTGCTGTGTTGTCCATCCCACAGATATCAGGGTGATTGAAGGGTGGTTGAAGTCCCCCAGCTCATGCCTGGATATCCCTGATGGCTTTTGAACTAAAGGACAATCGCTGTGAGATTTGTTAGGACTCATGGAGTCTCGACAGCTGCTTCAGCCCTGCTCTTCTCCCCAGTCTATCCCCAGCATCTACAAAGGGCCCAGAATCCATATGCTGAATGCTACCACGAATCTGCCGACTGGAGATCAGCCAACTGCCCACTGCCAACAGCTTCACTGCTTCCAAGTTTCATTATCTCTACACTTCTGTTTCCATTCCCAGCCCAACCTGGACTCCCAGCATCCTGTGAGGGTAAGGACTTGAAAAAAAGGGTACTATGAAGTTATATCCACAGCTGCACAGCAGCCCGGGAGCAGAGGGCTCTTTTTGCTGAAGGTGTTACGGATAAAACGTCAGAAAAATTGGAATCCCGCTGTCTCATTGTTTAGTTTCGTTCTTTGCTTTTTGCCACATTTCCTAAAGAAATGCAGTCTGTGACAGTGCTGCAGTTCAATAGTTTGCCTACCCAGCATCCACATACCTGCTGGTCCCCTGTGTCCGGTGTGCCTGCCTTCCCAGGGAGTTGCCACCTCTCCTCTCATGTGAAAAGTTCTGCGAGTATCTCACCACTGCTATATCTTCACTTTCATCTTCACTTCTTCCCTGCCTTTTTTTACATCCAACACAGAGGATCTCAAGCCTGTTTCCACTATAGAAAACAAGATTTGACCACCTCTGTGTTCAAAGCTATGCTCAACATCTGGGGAAGGCTCAGGGGAGCTCACAAGACAACGGCTATTTCATAGGTTTATACTTTTTAAGATCAGGAAAGACCACTCCATCCTCCAGCTGGGCCTGGAAGGACATCATCCACACAGGGACCATCTGGCTAAAACACACCACCCCAGGACGTCTCAAGGTAGATTTGGAAGCTTTCGCCTGGCTTTAAAATTCAGCAGGTTAGGATCTAAGCTCTTTTTTTCCTCTCTAAAATCCTTCCAGACCAACTGCTCTTGTCCCACAACATTAAAAGCGTGCTATAACCCAGCCACAAGCGCTGATGGCAAAACAGAGCATGTTGGGGCACTTCAGAGGCAACTCCAATGCTACTCGTACCCCTGCCATCGCCCCAAGCCCCCAGTTCAAAACAGAAGGTAGATAAGATATTGCCTGCTAATGGCTTTCCATATAAATATTAGGACCTTCCCTCTCAACCAGTTTACTCTGTGCACTGACCCCTTCGCCAGGGTCACAGAGAATGGGAAACTGTGGGAGGTCCCCAAGTTTTATAAATGAGAGGGTTTCTCTGCATAGACACGTACCATGAGGCACCCAGGAGCCAAAGACACTGATTAATGGTACCAAGAAGGTCTGTTGTAGGGGATCAGTATCTGAGCAGCGCTAGGGAGGGATTACCAAGAGATTTAGCAGTTCAGGTGGATTAAAGCTGATTTGTCAGTTGTCTGCCATGGGTCTCCACCGAAAAAAAAAAAAAAAAAAATTAAGAATGGCCAAGCGTTGAAAATCATTTACCATAAGAGCCGGAGACAAAAATGTGATCATTCCCTTTAGGTTTGATGAAGTTGAAGTCCGAATGTTGGTCCAGGTACCTAATACAGGCTGACGGGTGGATGCACAGTTGGTCTGAGGAGTGGGTGAGACACAGGTTACCTCCAGCAGCAACTTGCCATCTCCTCCACCGCAGCACATGCAGCTCCCATCGGCTCCCTGAGCCCCTTCATGCCCAGTGGCTCAGCTATAGCTGCTGTGCAGGCAGGACCCCAGTGTCTCAGGGGCTGCAAAGACAAGTCAGAGCTCTCCACATGTGAGATAACCCAAAACAGAGAAGAGAAAGATTGGGTCTTACCAGACACTGGCCACACCCTCACAAAACATCCTTTGGAAAGGGTGAGCTGCACCCCAGAGACAGCCTACTTGCAGCTGATTCCAGGTCTCCAGCTGCACACTTAGGTTGCCAGAAGAAAGCAGATTTGGGCAGTGACCCCCCACATGCACAGCATCTATTTTTTCCAATAAAAGGCAAGAGGAGGATCTAGAAGGGGAAAATGCAATAGACAAGTAATTGGAAATGTAACTCATAAAATTATAATGAAGAGCATGCTAGCAACACATCTTTGGTTTCAGAGGAAATCTAGATAAACGAATAAAGGTGCAGCTGAAGGACCACAGGTCTCAGTCTGCAAAGAGTAACACAGGACACACCAGTCTATAATTTGACTCTGGCAGAGGGGACCATTTTGGAGTTCCCTAAGCATGCTTGACTCAAATTATTTCCTTCAGCCTTCCTTCAGGATGGGACAAACGCGGAACAACCAACAAGGCAGCAAACCACCCTCCCCCAGCTAATGAAAACCAGCACCCCAGCAAGGGTTTTTCAGGAAAGCACAAAGCAAACCCCAATGGAACAGGAGCAATTTGGGGAGCTGGGGCTTGGTGGACACACTCCCACGCCGGGACAGCTCCCAGATGCCATCTGCTATACACAGCCTTGATTAAAACATTATTTCTCTATAGGGTTGACAAGTCCAGAGTAATTCCATGTGAGGACCGTGGGCTCAGCCTCCAAAATCCTGCCCAAAACCAAGAGCAGGATCCGCCAGCCCTGGGAAGGCTTTGGTAGAGCCAAGGATCAACCAAGGTGTCCATCCCACTTCCTGTGATCTCATTTGGGGCAAACCAGGGGCCTCTGTTTCATTCATTTCAAAATGCTTCATTTGGGCCTGCAGCAAATTGAGCTGTTTTTCTGTTTAGTTTTGCCTTGTACTGTGCTGTCCTCAACTTTCTTAAACAGAAGTCACTTCCAACCCCAAAATGGAAAATGTTCCTCTTGCAAACGGAAAATGTAAACATTTCCATTGTGGCCACATAGGGTTTTTTTTCTCCCCAGCCCACTAAAATCTTTCTGCATTGAGAAATCCATCTGCAATGATCCTTGGCTGCAAAAAAAGAGTTTAAATCAGCCTTTCTAATAACAACTTCCCAAAGCCAAAGATCAAGGTGCCTGGTCCCAAGATGACTATCTCTTTTCAGAGCCTGAAGGAAACACACTGCTTGTGGTGTCCATCTCAGGTTTGTGTCAGGGATAGGACCAAACACAGGGCACACGTGAGGTCTAACAAGCAGCACGTTTTTCCAGCATTTGGCCACTGTTGGCTGACCGGGATGAACGGCCAAGAGGAAATCTGAAGCTATTTTGGCCATTAACAATACACATCAGCCACCTCAGTTTTCTGCTTACAGGTTGACCGAACCAGCCTGCTTTTCGATGTTTTGACTGACAACCATTGATCTGAACCAAGCTTCCCAGCCCAAGCAGGGCCCCATTTGCACGTTCCCTCCTGAGGACCACGCTCAAACCTGGCGGCAGCGTGGAAGGAGGTTCAGCTGGTTCCCATCCCCGTCCTCCCAGCAGCTGCCCCCAATGAGCTCCAGATGCGGGACTGGGTGTGCAAGGGCGCGAGGCTCTGCGCTGGAGGGAGAAGGCGGAGGCAGCCGAGGCTGCTGCTTTTATCTCCTTCACTTTGTTTATGAAAAGAGAGTTAGCGCGTGGTTGCCAACAATTTACTCTGGCAAGGGCACTCCTCCAGAAATACTTCTGCTGCTGTCACAGTGAGTGAACAAGGTTTGCCTTCCATCAGCTTTCTTACCACCAGCCGGGGCTGCTGAGACCCGAGACCCAAGAGTGGCTGCTCATTGCTGGGGAAGCTGCCACTTGAACCCATCCCAGACTCTCACAGGGGGTCCACGTGGGTGGGTGGCCACGCAGCCAAGAGCAGTTGCAACGGGAGCAAAGCTCACTCTGCTCAACCACCTTCCCAGAGGTTTCTCTTCCTTGGGCACAGGGGGTCCAACTGGCTCTGCCTTTGGGGTACCCCGAAAGCTGTAGCATCCCATGAGTCACATCCCAACCGGGATGCAAAACCCTGCGATCCTTGGGCAGGGAAAGTGGCAGTAAAATGAGCATGCTGGACCGCAGGAGACTTTTCCCAAAGAACACATGCCATAGGAATGAAGAAAGCACCACTGTGGCAGCCTTGGGGAAGAGGGATTCAAGATCTACTGTTTTAGAGCACAACTTCACCTTCCGAGTGCTTTGAGCAATGCAGAAGGCAGGCGACAACCAGTGCCCTCAGGCTGCAGAGCGTGCCCTTGGACAGGGAGCTCACCTGGGCTGCTGGGCCTCTCAGCCCCCATATTTCTGGAGAGCTCTGATGGATTGGGGGCAGAGTGGGAGTCCAAAATCTGGAAGAAGTTGAAGTCCCACTTCTCAGCAAGTTGGGGTCTGTGTGTTTTTCTTCCCAGCACTGCCTAGGCCTGCTGATAGGTGATCGGATTAAAAGTGAGCCAGCATCTGCTCAAGGTTATTTATTGCTTTTAAGAGGCGAGCTTTATTTGGAATTATTTTTGTCTTCTTTTTGGTGTCTGTGTTGGGTCTGAGTTATGGAAATGTCCTGGATGCACCAGCATCCCCTCTGCATGGTGTCAAACATCTGCCAGGCAAAGGCAGCCCGATGATAGCCCTGGGGAGACTTTGGCAGGAGCCTCCCTGTTCTACAGCTGACGTGAGCATCCTCCCACGCTTCCCGAGCTGGACCACCAAGCTCTTTGCCAGCATCACAGTTTACCACCCACCCAGGGTAGGTGGCATGGGGTGAGGTGCCCCACGGGGGATGCTCCACAGCCCTGCTAGCTGCCCACTGAGCCTCACTTCCTATGCCACCAAAGGTTTGCACGAGGAATTCCTCTTGATCCACTCACCCATCCTACTGACGGTTCAAATGCTTTTGGTGTTCTCCGAAGCTGCTGCCACTGCTTTACAGGCTTGTTTGGGAGATGCTTTTGTACAGAATAAAAAGAAATCACAACGGGGCTGAGGGCAAGTGGCAGAAGCTTCCAGCCAGGGCAGAGGGCTGTGCACACCCCAGCATTCGCCCCCAGATCCTGCTGTAATTTCCTTTCCACTAGCTTGAAAACCCGCTCTGGTTGAAGGAAGACTGTGAGGATTCCTGCAGGTGCCCCAGCACTTTCCGTACGCCCATGGGTCCATGGCTTGGGGCTAGAGGGGGGCGGTCAGGACTGTGGTTTAGGAGAGGGGTTGATGAAGGTCAATGCCAATACCTGGGGGCTGGATGATCCTTGTGCCAGAGCTTTGGTGAGCAAATCACAGTCCTCTGCCCTCTCACAGCAGTGTAGCACCAGCGATGCCCAGATGCTGCTGGAGCTGGGAGTAAGAAAAGACCAACCCGTGGTCCCCCTCCTCCAGCCAACGCTCAGCTCTCACCACCAGAAAGGCCTTCCAGTCCCATTTTCTCAAAATTTTCCCCAAAGTGGCAAAGGCCAGACTAGAGGCGGGGGTTCAGCAGGACTGGGGCTGCTCCCAGCCCGGTTGAAAGATGCAGTCACATCCACAAGGTGCAGCCATGAAAAGGGAAGGGGAAGAAAACACAACTGGGGCCAGGCAGGGGTGAGCAGGGTGGTTTGTGCCTGTAGGGACTGCTTTGCGGGTGTGTGCTGGCAGCTGTGTTTGAGGCACACATGTGTGCTGCCCACACTGGTGAGCAGGCATATGTTGGCTGCACGTGTATGTATGTGCTTCCCCAAACCTGACATCTGAAATCCTACCCGTGATGCCTGCGGCTCGCCAACCCTCCTCCTCCCAGCCCTGCCCTGGCAGCCACCCAAACCAACACTGACATGTTTAGGATGTTTTCCTCCTCCATCAGCTCCAACAGGCCACGCAGCCTCGTCGCAGTTCGACTTCCGATGACCTGGTTTCAATGGGGTGACCCATGGCTTTGATTTTGCTGTGTATTTGTTTTCCAGAGAAAAATTCGTGAGGTTCTTGACCTGTTAACAAAAAAAAAAAAAAAAAGAGATTGAATTGTCATCTTGCTGCCAGGCTCCTTAGTTAGAGTTTCAACTGTAACTGCACACGTGGGTCCAAGTTGCCTCAAATGGGTGCTCTCTCCAGGGATGAGGCAATATCCAAGTGCTTGTTTCTAACCACCACCCACCCACAAGCTAGGTAAGGTCAGGTTTTCCCCTGCGTTCACATGGCCAAGGCAGTGGCAAAGATTTAATTCCAAGCCAAGAAGGTCTCCAAAGTCCCCCATGATGCTTCGCCATCATCCCTGCAGCTGGGGGCTCATCCCAGGTCAGCCTCCGGCAGTCCCAGCACAACAGGTCCTCACTTACGCAAGCAGCACTGGCCACACGGATGTTTATCTTTCCTGGCCTCCCTGCAGTTTCTGGAGACATGAGCTATCCTGGCAGCCGGGGGACACTGGCCTTGCAAGAGGAGAGCCCAAGCTGGATCCAGGCACTGGACACCTCTACCAGCAGTGGAAACACATGCATGTAATTTCCCAGTGCACAGAAACACCCTTCGGGGCCGTCCTCTTCACAGAGGCATTTTTCCCTTACTTCATCAATCTAAATATTGAGGATTTTTTTTTTTTCCCAATTCAGCTGCAAGCCCTTTTCCATGAGGCTGCTGCAGCACTGTTGGGAATGAGCTTGGCCAAGAGCATCTCCCTTCCCCAGGAGGCCAGGCCAATATTTTTACTCTTACTCACTGTGACTCTGCCAAGAAGGTGCTCAGTATTTTACAAGCTCCACAAGAGTCCATCTTCCCAGAGATATGATTCAGGACAGTTTCTTGCACAGGCTGGCATAAACCCAAACTTTTCTGATTTAAACCTATCTGTTTGGAAAGAGATTAAGCAGAAAAAAACAGCTGTTTTGCAGAGTAACAATGAGAGCGCAGGATCTGTGCTCTTGCTTGGCCCAGTGAGAGCTTCCCGGCGAAATGGGTCCTAAATCACAGCGAGGGGAGCCCATCCTGCTGGGAAGTCCTTCCCCAGCACCGGGGAGGCTGAGGCAGCTGTGATAAGGGGGCATAGCAATGGGTTTATTTGGGTCGGTTTGGCTCCCCCTGCTCCAAGTGGATTTTAGTGGAAGTATTTTATAACCCTCTAAAAAAGATGAAAACCAAGCATCACCACTAATGCATGGGTTTTGTCCTGGGGAGGAGGATCCCCTCTCCCTGGCAGACAGGGCAGAAGAGGTGGGAGAGAGGATCCAGTGTAGGACACAGCTCTCCAAGATGCTGTGGGAAGGATCTCCTGCTCGGAGCAAAGAGCAACTCCATGCTGGGTGGGTGCTCAGACACACACGAACATCGTCAGGGCAAGATGGGCTCCTTCATGTCAGCTGAGCAAGGGTAATGGGCACGGCTTTCCTGAGCTCAGAACAGGGTTACGCTAAACCCCATCACCCAAAGGGGCTGAGGATGTGCACAGTGCTAAATTTAGCAACGCGATGTTAAACTGCAAGGGCTTACCTGTGCATCTGCATCTGAGGAGCGACTCCAGTGGGGGTTCCTGCAGCTCCAGGAGTTGAATTTATGTTGCCTGCTGGGAGCTGGGCTGCTTTTTGCTTGGACTATTCCTGAATAGACCAACAGCAGAGCAGCTTGAAGCCACAAAGAAGTCAGTACTGCAAAAGCTGGACAGTGCCACTCCCCAGTGAGTATGAACGGGCACAAAGACCTGAGCAACGGAAAAGCAGCATCTTTCTTTAAATAACTTACTATAATTGATAGTGCCTCAGTCTGCTCTGTAACGCTACTGGGAAAAGCTCATGCCAATGCCAGACCATCGCCTGTAAGTACATCTGTGGTATTTGAAGGCTGCAGCAAGGCAGAGCTGAAAGAATAAAAACTCTTTGGAGGGGAAAATGTATTTTCAGATTGTCAGCTGCACTCACTCAAGATCAGTTATAACCTCACTCCACATGTGGTGGTGTTTTAATGAATTCCCCCTTCCTCCCGGGACCACGCTCTAACCTAATTCACACCAGCAAAGGGTGTTTCTAACTCTGCTCCCGCCAGCTCCCCGGGCGCTCCTGCCTGACGTCAGTGGCAGCCAAGTGAGGTCCCAACACCATCCCGGGGCTGAATCTGCACAGCCTCTGCTGCCGTTTGCATTCCCAAAATGGAGCCAAGATGCTTCTCTTGCTGGCACCCACCACTGCTGCATATGGGCTATGCAGACTCAAGCCCTTGAGGAATCAAGTTTTAGTGGGGTGTAAAAATTTGGGTAACTTGAGTCAGAAGACAGCACACAATGTCTCTCCTTTTCCATTTCCCCCCCACACTTTGAAAATGTCAAAGAGTCAATAGTTACAAACAGCTCTGTCTTCACAATGTGCTGCTCAGGGCTATCATTTGGGGCTGGTTTGGGGTTTTTCTCTTCCAGTTTGGGGGATACGGCTGTTTTGCCAAATGCATCACCAGCCCATGGACAATGATGCTGTTTTATCTCTTAAAAATGCCTTCTGTTTCAATGGTCATGCCTCCAGTGAGCATAAAACAGCATCATGAGCTCTGCAGCCTGCAGAAACCTCCATGAGTCACATCAGCAACTAAAGGCACTTAAGTCCTCCCCCAAAAACCAAAGGACACTCTGCCATATCCCTCTCGCCTCGGATTCATCAGCTGGCTTCTCCGGTAACACACACACTCACATGTCATCAGGAAGGAATTTGTGCTCTGTTTGATAATCGGAGATGAATCAGTACAGCAGCGAAATCCTCAGACCACAAAGCATTTCAGCAGCTCTTTTAAGCCTCCTGCTCTCATGTGTAAGCTGTCCAAGGACCCGCTCATTCCCGGGCATCCCTGGCCCCTCTCATAAATCAAAGCATTCCAGTCCTGGTTTCCTCTATGAATCCATGAATACTCACAGAGGTTTCTTCTTTAGCAAACTTAATCTGGGCATTTGTTCAAAAATGTTAATATTACCTGCTCCTTTTATGATATAATGACAGCCTGTGGAGGCATAATTTAGCCCAGACCTGAAGACGTCTGTTTTAAGGTTAAAAAGTCCTCCAAGCTAAACTTTATCTAACAGCAGCAATGAAAAATTAACTTGCCCAGTGTTAATTTTGGTTCCTCTCATTAATGGAGCTATGCAGGATCACAGCTGAGGAGGGTTGGGCTTTGATTTATCCCAACCTCACATATTTTGTGCAAGGTTTAATCTGTTCCATGGCACCAGATCCCAACAGGGATTTAAAATGATCTGGTTGATAACCTAATTTGATTCCCATTTCCATCACCTGCCCTTACCCTCATAGACACCTTCCGTTCATAGGTCATAGTTCAGCCAAAGGCTTGGACAACAGGTTAATTCTACCAAAACCCATCTGTCTCTACCATTGGCCATGCATTACCACAAGATCCTTTAAAAACTTAAGTGAAAAGGTCTCTGGGAGGGCAGGCCAATGGATAAATGCATTAATTAAAAGAATACATAACGGTGCTACTGAGAGACAGTTTCTGTCAATATCCACCTGTCCCAGAGATGTGCCCAGGAGCCCCGTCCCCACACAGGTCCTGCTCCCCTGAAACACAAACCCTCCTTCACCCCTCAAAGCACTCAAAATCCACAGTCAGAGCTGGAAATCTTGTCTGGGACTGCAAGGGGAGCCCCTCAAGATATCCCTGGCAGCAATGAGTCTGAAGGGGAGCAGGAACCAGCCCCGTATGCTGGGGCACATTGAGTACTCCAGGGGCTGACGTAGGTTTTTGGCTTCTTTAACTGGCACTTCTCTGCTCCAGTGGCTCTTCACAGCATCCAGGGAGCAACGTCCTCATGTGCCATCAATGCACGGCAACGTCTGCCACTTCACAGCTCCAGCACGGAAATACATCACGGTATTTCCAGGGAACTCCAGTGCTCCCACACGGGGTTGCTGCAGGGAGAGGGTCTGAACCAGGATGCTGCTCGGAAACAAATGCAGGGGGAATAACTCTTTCCTACAGGGATAAAAAAGGAAAAACCCATTAATGAAGCCTGTAGGGGACAGGGACAGGTATTCACGTGCCATCAGTGTAGCTGATGGGTTTTGCATTAACGTCCCCCCTTTCTCAAGCTGGTCCCAGCACAGCACGGGATCCGTGCCGACCTCAACGCCTCGTTTGCTCAGAGACCCGGAGGCAGGGGACACTGTGACATCCACAGGGAGCAAATGACATTTTCCCAATCATCTCATAACATCCCCTCCCAAAATCTCATCCAGGCAGCACATCCTTCCCCAGGCCGGTGGTGCTGGTGAGCAACAAAGGAGGCTCTCAGGGATGTGGGGAGCAAGTCCCTCTGGTACCCGGTGTCACGCATGACAGTGGCAGAAGGGAACCATGCACCATCTGAGCAGGCCCTACAAACAACCCCCAAACCCCTGAGACGTGGGGTCCTGGCGCCCCGTCCACTCTCAGCAGCCTGCCCTGTGCAAAACGTCTCAGATCTGCATCCAGCAGAGCAGGAAAGCCCTCCAGGAGGATATTTCACACCATCCTACTGTTTTGGATTAGACCCCAGCTGCCTCCTGAGCTGTTTAAATTTACGGGTCTGAGAAGTGAACTTTCCACCCAGGCAGGGGCTTGCCTAGATGAGGGACTGAGCAGAGAGCAGTGGGTTCAGTGCCTCTCTGAAAACAGCCAAGGGCCCATTACAAGCCTGATTCCAGCCAGCGACAATCAGAAAATGACCCTCTAATTATCAGCTGCCCTTTGGTTTACTCTCCTTTGCATCCTGGATGCACCAGAAACACTTTAGAAATGCACACTGCCTGTGGAAAAATGCCTTGCCATGGAGAACAATCCCAAACCAACATCCGTGTACCAGCCTCCCAGTAACTGTGGTGGGGCACCTTTTGCAATCAGCTCTGCCAGGGTTTCATTTAAAATTTTTCTGCCTCCCAGCAGGGAAATCCATCAGGAGTCAGTGTTACAGTGAGAAAACCTCAGAGGCTTGCATGGGAGCTGGTGGGTCCTGCACACAGAACGACCATAGCATAGAGGTTTTTCAGCACTTAGATATATTCTATTCGTGAATTGGGAGTGAACAAGGATCTTTTCTCACAGTCTATTAATTTTGCTGAGGTTAAGGTTTCTTTCTTTTCCCTTACAGACACTGACTGCTGGAGGGGCTTGCAGAGAAGAGCCACTGTTGGCACTTCTTTGCAGCACCCTCTGGCTCTCAGCAGGGATCCAGGGAGACCCAGGGACAGGGACACCCTCAGGCCTCGATGCCATTCTTCCAACATCACAACAAACCAGCCCATGAAGGGAGAACAGCATTTTCGTGCAAACCACATCCACCTCTAACCAGTTTCTCCATTTCTCCTCATTTCCCCAATGACCTAAGTCAGCAATGTAACCTCTACCTGCAAGTCCAGCACCATTTGGCCCCTACCTGTAGGTCCAATGTCTACAAAGACAGGCACACACCATTGCTGGGCTCAGCCAGTGGCTGAGACACCAGGGCAACAACCTGGGGAAGGCAGATTCGCATCCAGCCCCTGGTGTCGGCACCAAGACCCAAAAAGCCCCAGCACCACCACCACGGGCTCCCATTGCAACATCTTCCACCCAGCAGAACCTCTTTGTAGGTTTTTGACAGTAACATGCATTTCTAGTAAAACCCAGTTGTCTGAAGGGGAAAATTCCCAGGGAAAGGAGGATGTAGAGAGGCCAAGAATGTACGTAGCTCCAGAACAAGATTAGACAATTCTGTGGATGTCAGGAATGTCTAGAGTTAGTACAATTAATGATAACCATCTTGGCTGAGATAGAACCCAAGTGCTGCAGGACTCCCAGCAATATCCATCTGCTGAAGACCAAGACAAGAGCATCCCCCTGCCTTTTCAGCACATGACATGTCTCTTCAACCATCCCTTGAGGGAAGGTCTTGGTGAGACTCTGGCTCTGCCCCAGCCAAGAAGCTGCTGTGGGGAGCAGAGCAGGAAGGGGATAGCTGGGCAGGGGGAGAGGGGATGGGACAAGGGTGTGCCATCACATTGTGTGCCTTTCCCTTTGAATTTGTAGCCTGGGCAACTCAAAAGTTCAAAGCAGAGACAAACGTGCCTCCATGCCCAGGTAATGTATTCTGGGGGCCTCACTGGAAATCCCATGGTTTCTAGCACAATCTCACAACTATTCAGTCGTTACTCGCTCCCCACTTGTGATGCTATAACAGGGAAAGGGGGGCAGCATCCCCACCACCCCACAGCTGCCATGCAGTCACCAACCTCGTTGGCTCCAGCCCTGGGGGAGCGCAGCCAGAACCGCAGTGCTTTACAGGCATCTCCCCAAATTGCTCCCATGTGGGTGCCATGGTTCCAGCAGCCCCCCGGAGCCCTAAGTGCTTCCAGGCTGGAGAAGCCCCGGCTGCTGCTTGGCGTCACTCGCACCAGGGAATGGGAGCCAGCGTCTCCCTGCTGCCTGTGCAAGCACACTGCAGATGTCCCAGAGGGAACATTACAGCCTTCAGTTACCCAATTAAAAACGTGTTTGAGGGGATTTGATTACTCCATTTGACAGAGGGAAGAAAACCCTCCGGGCCCTGGCAGCAATGAGGATTTACGAGCTGGGGCTTTGCTTCAGGTCGCTCTGCCTGATCATGGTATGTAGCAAAGGAGAAAAAAAAAAAAAAACAAAACCAAAAACAAACCTAAAAAAACAGGGAGCAATGGTGTCTGCATTCCTGCTGCTTGAATCAGATGTCTTTCCTGGCAGCTCCAGTCCCCCCTGCCTCCAGGGACTCGGGGAAGGTGCAGCAGTGGGCAGGATGCACTGGAGCAGGTCATCATCTTTGCCATCCTGCACCCAGGACTGCCTGTGGCATCCTGGAGAGCCATATCCTAAACCAGCTCCACTCTCCCATCCCTCTTTCCTCAAGCAGGAGGTGATCAGAGGTGTAAATGCTTCCCCATCACTTGTGGATAGCTTCTAGGGATGCGGTGAATGCTTTGTCCCCAGTTTGATAGCGGACAGAATCTGTTTTCTTTTCTGATCCAGGGCAGACAAAGCCCTGGCATTAACCCCGCTGTGCGGCCGGGACGCCTGCTTTTTGGGTACCCCCTGGCTCCCTCCCCTTCCTCTCCCTGTAAAAGCATCACCCTCCAGTTGGGAAATGAGGGAAGACAAATCTCGCAGCCGTCTGCCTTATTGCATCGTGTGAACAGCATCCAGAAACGCCTCTAGACAAGATGATTACTACCAAGGGATTTGGGATTTGAGATCACATATATTTATTGCCACAGCAGTGAATGGGAGACATGTGGCCACCAAACCCCAGTGTGGGCTCAGAGGAAGGCAGCCCAGGGCTGAGTATCTCCTTTGGGGCTGTGGCAGCATCCTCCTGCTCACCCTCCTCACCTGGTTCAGGCCACGCTCAAGGACACGATGCCAAGTTAACTGTGCTCCCACCTTGTTCCTTGCTTGCCTTCATGCATAGCATCGAAGTGTCTGGCGTTCTTCTTTAAGGCCATATTAAAATGAAAGGAGAAAAGTTCCAAGTTATTTCAAAGGTCTTTGCTTCAAAAACATTCAAAACAAATTTACGCACCAAAGCCATAAATGTTCCTTTTATTGCACACACAAAATAACCCTCTGCAATATGATGCCTCTAAATTTATGGTTCTTCCAGAGCTATTAATTCAGCCCAGGTCTTTCCCTCTTTTATATCGTTTTTTTCCCACCTTAAGTCAAATAATTCATAAATACTTCATGCTGGAGTGTACTTTATGAGCATTATTATGATCACTTGAATGTGGAAATGCCTGTGAAGTTATTACAATAGTTTTAATACACCACAGACTCCCCAGTGGTACAGATAGCAAGGTATAAAGCAACTTCATCACACACTGGAGGGAAGAGCTCTCTTGAGAGGCTGTTTATTTGGCCAAATAATAAGGATCCTGTAGCCCATATACATCTCTGAATCGAGTCAATGATGTCTGGTGAAAGTTTTAATTTGCCACCCTCCAGCTCAGGAGGGTTACATGTATCACTGGCCGGAGCGAGACATGGCTTAGGTCCACAAGTCTCCATAGAATTTTTAGACCCAAATCCAGAAAAAATACATAAAAATGGTCAGAGGTGCAACAGCAGGGCCATCATTAACACATTTAAAAAGAGCAGGTAACTAACTTGGATTCTTTAGGTGTGCAGGGAGGCACAGATAACCCGAATTTCCCTTGTCAGAAGAACGCAAACATTTTTTTCTGTTATCCTTGAACACAGCACAGGATGGCATGATGTTGAAAGCCAGAAATTAAGAGTCATGGGGCTGTATCCCTCCAAAGATATAGCTGAAAACCATTGGTTTCTTTAATGGAAAGAGGTAGAACACTACAGATATTAAACTGCACCTAGATGGAAATAGGAACTCACCAAAACGAAACGTATTTTCCGGGATCACTGAGCCATACTGGGCCTTTCTTCAGGTTATTTCAAGAAAGACGCTTTGCACATGCTTCTGGATTCTGCATTTCTCCTCCTCATTCTCCCATGTAAAATGGATCACTGGGGGCAACCATGGCCCTGAAAATGTAAAGCAAAAAAAATCAGCGGGAGCATGTTTGGATTCCCTGAGAGGTGCTGTAGGATGACAACCCCTCCAGCACCCAAAACCATCTGCCCCCTGACCTTCCTCAAGACCACCCAGAAAGAGCTGCAAAAAGAACCCACAGGTCCTGCCTGTCTCTGAACCACCACTGCTCCCCAGGAAATCAGTCTTTTCTCTTGTAAAGAACTCCTACAGTAATTGCCTTCATATCTCAAAGGTGTCTTACAGCCACAGAGGTGCAAATATTTATCCATACTTGGAATTGCAGAGTGAAGCCTAACTAAGTGTTCCCAGACACTTCAGCAATTGTTGTTTTAAGACCTGAACCATAGACACCTGGCTGGAATTAATCAGCAGATGTGAACAGGAGGCAGAGCAAAGCCCTTATTAACCCTTCACACATCAATGTCAAGGTCACAGGGTATTTCACTGGGGCAGCCAGTACCTAGATGTCAGCTGTCAACAGCCTGGGAATCCCAAAACAAGAAACGTCCTCCGTTGATCAGGGCATAAACTGGCAGCAAAATTTATCATGCCCCTGTCACCACTTGAAGACTTGCTGTGTTAAGGCACTCACTTGTGAATAGCAGCAATAATAAATGTTTATTACTAGATAATAAAACACAAGAGCAAACCACCTTCTGTATGGGCTCTGTCTAAAATCAATAGGAGTTTAAACATCTCTTTAAGGGAAAGCATTCACTTTGCACCAGGTGGTTTCAAGTAGTTCACATCATGAACAGCTCCCCATCAAGATCAAAAATCCAAGCCCTTCAGAAGTGATCAAGCACAGATCTGGGAAACACCCGCAGCCTCTCCCACACTGGCCGATCCCTCTCTGATGATAGGCAATCAAGACACGTTGTCCCAATCTCAAGCCTCCAAATGATACACAGCATCAATGACTTCTCCAAAGCCTCTGTCCTGGGAGGGTCAGGAAAAGGCCATGCCTCTGTGAATCCAGCCAGGGTGAACTCCCTGGTACCCCTTACCCAAATGTTTTCATGCTCATTAGTTCCTTTCCAGGAAGGGACAAAAGTCAACAAAGCTAAGGACAAACAGTGGCACCATGTTCCTTCTCCAACACAAAGGGGAAGGAATTGGTCCACAATAAAATGCAACCTGAAATTACAAGGCAGCTCCTCAATGGCTGCATCATTGGATACCAGGACAAGCACAGCTAAAGTTGGCTTAATACAGAGCTAGAGCAGAGCGAGGTCCCAAGGTAGGACCCACAAACCATAACTGAACGGAAGCCACCTCCTTCACGGTGGAACAGACTGTGCTTTTATGTCCAGCTGAGCTTTCCAGCAAGACACCCAAGACGAAGTACTGCGAAGTTTATGTTAATGCTAACCCATACAAACCCCAGGTGGGGACGTGGCTGGCGTTGATGAACTACAAGATGAAAAGACAGACAACCTCTGCCCTTTTCTGCCAGCCCTTCTCATTGTGAGACGTCTGGTGATGGAGAGCTCGCCTGCTTTGAAGTGGAGACGGATCCAAGAGCCGGGCAGGTGCAAAGCCTTCATCAGCAGACAACATGCCATGGAGCTCACTCTGAAAATCCATCATTTGCAGCTTCTTTGGTGTGGGGGATATTTCTAAACAGATTATAAAACCTCTGCCTGAATCCCAGCAGTCAATCCATTTGAATTATCTTACGTCTTTCCCAAAAGGCATGAGAGAGAAAATCTGTTTTCTCTGTCACTGACCCATGATGTCCCTCTGCTGCTAAGCTATTCTGATTGTGGAACTTAATGCAGAACAAAAAAAAAAAAAAAAAACCACCCAACCTTCTATTTTAAAGCAGAGGAGAAAAACCTTCCTGGATCTGTCACTGTAGATATTAGCCCATCGCCAGCTACAGAAAGCTGCATTCTTGACTGATGTTGGTGTTCATGGCCCATTTGCTTGCTTGCTTGAATTTTCCCTCCTCGATAACTCCAGGAACTGGCAAACTATAGAGGCTGTTTTTTGTAGGCTTGCAGGCAGGCTGGGAGCTGTTTCATACAGAGGATGAGAATGGGGCAGGAAGAGGCTGGAAGGAAGATGAAGGGGACCAAAGGGAGGAGAGAAGCAGAAGATTAAAGGCGCTATAGGGAGAAGGAAGGTCAGCGTCTGAGTGCAAGGGAAGATTTGGAGAGAAATTAATGAGAACAAGGGGCTGAGTTGAGAAGAGGAAGTGAGTGGGATGAAGGAAGGGTCAGTCTCAACCATCCATCTCCATTTATCCCCTCTGCACCTGAGCAGGATCAGGCCTTTTTTCTCTTCTCATTTAGTGCTGAGATAGAAACAGCTTGGGCTTCAAGTTCATCTATAGAGCAGGTCTAAAAAACAGCCTCACTGGTTCACAGCTCAGCCAGCAGCAGAGTCCAACAACAGCTCCCAGGGGAGGGAGCTGATGCCAAAGCAGCAGAAAATGACCCTTTACACAAGAGTCAAGGGACAAGACCAGCACACCAGGCCAGGCCAACGGCTGTTTCCCTCATAGCTTCTCTTTAACAGTGACCATAAGAGGATACCCAGAGACATGTAAGAACAAGACAAACGTATGTGATACTACTCCAAGCACTTTCCCGGTCTCCAGCTGTTTCCAACTCAGAGAAACTCTTGAGCCAGATGTACTTAGTAACCCCTCAGCAATTTCTCCTTCGTGTAATTGTCCAGTGTCCTCTTAAACCCATCTAAAACTTTAGCATCCACAGGCTCCTTTGACAACGAGGTCACAAGGCAAGATCCAGTGCTGTCTGTTGAAATTGCTCCCTCCAGCTCTGGACGACTCCCCTGCCCGTCGGTGAGGTCGGGCAGCATCACATCCTCTGTTCTTCAGACCACGTAACCTTTGAGCAGCCGCCCAGGCCATCAGACACTGCCTTCCTCTCCAGCCAGGCCCTGGGAAACGAACAAAGACCACAAGAGCTGGACTCATCCTAGAGAAGCTAAAAACCCAAGGAATTTCCAAAATCTGCATCATACTGCACTTGAACAAAGAAAGTCCCACCCGGCCAAGCAGGTGTGGGCACAGCCAAGGACCAGGTTGCTTTTTACCACAGCTACCTCGACACTAAACAATCTGGTCCCTGAGCCAGAGCCAGCCCCAGTTCAGGGAAAAAAAAAAAAAAAAATAAAAAAATGAAAAGCAGGTTGCTGAACAGCACTGTTTACGCCTTTCTGTGTGTTTTTGTACCCAGGGAAGTCAAACAGGCAATCAGGGGAGGGAGGATTTGATGCTGATCATCAGGGAGGAGGGTGTGGGTGAAATTTTCCTGTTTATGAGATGTAAACAAGCCCTGCAGAGCAGGTCAGGCCACACGATGCCCTCTTATCACGAGCCATTGCGTTTGGCATAAACACCAGCCCCCAGGTCAGGGCCATAATCTCTCCCAGATGCTTTTGTCCATGGGCCTGATCTAAGGCTTCAAACCTGACGTAGGGGATGAAATAATCCCCACCTGCTGCCTTCTTTCTCTAGCATCTCTTTGCTACCCCAAAACATCTTTCCCTGGTGCCAGAGGTTGGAGAGTGGTTCCTACAGGAGGTGGCCATGGCTCTCCTCCACACATCGCTGGGGCCACCGCAACAAGTGCGGAGCTGCCACCCGACGCTGCAGGCAATGAGGTTTTTTTTTACCCTGGTACAAAACCTGGGGAGGGAAGGGACGGCTGGGCCAGGGGTTGCTGCCCTGGAGAGCTTACTGGGAGGTAGCCCCAAGCCCTCAGCCTGTCAGGGAGTTTAACCCAACCTGTCAGTCAAGGTCTCCATTTCCCAGGATCCATCCCCATCACAAATGAACTTGTCTCACAAAGCCCAGTCCAACGTGACAAGTGTTTATACCGGACTAATGAGCGCCTCCGTCCCCAGGGGCGTAGGATTGCTCAGGCACCGAGGTCCAGACCCATATGGTTTCCCTTGCCACATGCAGGCTTGCAGGGAGCAGCCTGGTGTGCTTTGGGCTGTGCTTCTTCACACAGGGAACCTGGATGTGGCAGGAACTGTCGGTGACTCTCCAGAGGGGATGGCTGCGCCAGCTACGAGGCTCTCGGCTCCTGCGCAAGGACCAGGTGCCATCCTCCCAGCCTGGATCTCTGCAGCACTGCCCACCAGATCGGTGAGCAACCACAGCGTGCTTGCCTTCGTGGTTTAGCCATGCAAACAATCTCCCTGAGAAAGAAAAGCACCATTTTCCCATGTAAGTGCCTTAAATATGTCAGGATTTGAGTAGGAAAACACCAGCCTCTCCCTCAGGCCTCTCTTTATGCTACACCACAAATATCTTGTGCAACTCTCTCCACCTCTCCGAGGAGCCCTGGCTCTGCTGGATTTGCCTCCCTGAGCATCTCTGGAGAGGTTCAATAACCACAGAAAGCAATGGAGCCTGTCAGCAAACGGCTGCGGTGCTGGGTTTGGGCCATGCATTCCTGACAGCCGCCTCTGCCCACGCAGGGGCTCCTTCCAGCCGAGTCCTCGGGGCCCCATAACCTGGCAGCCTCCTCGGAGCAGACGTGCGTTACCCCCATCCCACACAGCCCGGGCCCCGCTCCGCCACAGGGTGCTGCCTTCAGACAGGGAACCAGGGGCAGGGAGGAACCGGCCTCCCCACTCTCCCCCTGCCCGTTGCTGCTGCCGTGGTCAGAGGGTGGGGGAAACCCAGGGTACCAATTCCCTCCATATCCCCAGCTTGGCCCCAGCAATGTCAGTCAAGACATCAGTTTCATAGGAGAGGAGGAAAGGTGCTGCCAGCGTGGTCTCAGCTGGGAATTGTGATGCCTTTGGTTTCCAGAAATATTTGGGCTCTTACCTCCCTTATCCCTTAGGAGATGCGTAACTTCATCAATGCAGTTGGTGCCCACCTAAATGGATTCTTCCTTCTCCACAATGCTCTCCTTATGGCCTCCGCAGCTCCTGGGATTCGCGCTCACTCATGCCTCTGGATTTCATGCAGATCTGGGCTTTGCAAGAGCGCCTAGTGACACCGGTGTCCTGCAGACAGCAGTGAAGAGGAGAGGCAGAGGCTCCGGCTGCTGCAGAGCCTGCACCCAACGTGCTCTGGTCCACCACAGGTCCTGTCCCTTTGAACCAAATGCTAAACAGTACCTGGTCCCCTCACACCTGAAAAGCCCTGAGGCAAAGGGCCTGATGCTACAGGGATGGGCAGAGACCCTCAGGGCAGCGGGAGGTGCGTCACATCACCCTGACTTATTTCACACCTGTGCCCAAACAGGCTTTCGCTGGTAACAACTTTCAACACTGCCACCCACGGACCAGGAACTGCATCAGCTGTCCTATAAAAACCTCAACTGGAGAAGAGAAACCTCCCAAGAAGAACTGGAAGACACTGCAGGAGAGGGTGTAGGGGTTCCCACATGTTTATTCCACAGTTTCCAGCTCTGCCAAGACCAAGCTGAGCAAAACAGCGTCAAGAGCAGAGCAGGGCCGTGCCCGTGTCACGATGGATCTGCCCTCCCCACGCCCAAGCAAAGGAGAATTCAGATCTGCAACAACTACTGTCGCTCAGCAGGAATGAATCCGAACCAATCCCACATTTCAAAGACCTACCAGATCCCAATGTTGTCCCTCCTTCCTCAGCTCCTCTTCTTGGATTCCTAGAGGTGAAGCCTAGACCTGTGCAAATAACTGGTCTAGTCTTTAAAGATCAAATTAAAAAATTAGGAAGAGGAAATTTTTTTGTCTTCAGGTCAACCCAGAATGAAACCTTCCTATTTGTCACAGCAAAACATTTTTTTTTCCTTAAGTGGAGACAATGAAAACATTGTGTTCTCCCCAAAATAAAACATTTTTCTGTTTTCAAATGCATGTTTGAAGGCACTTGCAGTCCCCCATTTTTTTAATTAAAGGCAGGCAAATTTCAAATGGAGAATGTTACAGTGTAATAAAAAGTTAAAGCATTTAATTTCAAGCATATCTTAAACAAAGCCTGCAGTTTTTCATCCCCAAAATACTTTTTTTTTTTCACTTCAAACTTTGGTTCAAGTTGTAAATAATTTCAAAGGAACCAAAATAACTTTTATTTTGCCTACAAACAAATGTTTCATCTTAATTTCAGCCAGGCTAGCTTAAAGTGATTGGAGCCAGACTCTCCTCAATGGTGCCCAGTAAATGGACAAGAGACAAGGGCCATGCATTGAAATACAGGAAGTTCCTTTTAAAAAGAAGACATTTTTTTATTTTTTTTTTTTTTACTGCAAGGGTGGTCAAACACTGGAGCAGGTTGTACAGAGCAGTTGTGGAATCTTTATCCTTGGAGATAATCAAAACCCGACTGGACACAGCCCTGAGCAACCCCCTCTGGCTGCTCCTGTTTTGAGCTGGGGGCCGGATTAGACAGTCTCCAGAGGTGCCTTCCAGCCCTGATCATCCTCATCACCTGTGATTTTATCACTAACTCAAAAAGAAGCACCCGGGCCCTGCAGTCTCCTCCCTGGGGATTCCCAGGGATAACACCAGCCCCACTAAACCACCGCGAGCTGCAGCATCACCAGTCTTGCCAAGTCTGAGAGTCGCACAGAGCTTCGTGGTATTTTCAAAGATCAGTTTCCTGGGATTTTTGCAATTGAGTGTTTAAAATAAAATGCACATGTATTACTCTCATAAACGAAGAGAAAACCTGTGACCTCTGCCTGACCTGTAAGGGGGTAAAAACAGAAGACAGGTTTATAAAAGAGAAAACTGCAGGCATTTAAAAGGAGCCGTCGTGTGAGCAGCTAGTCTGAACACGCTGGATTTCTACAGACCTTACACCTCCTGCTTGGATCCTCCAGTGTCCAGTAAGGTGTAAACTCTGAAAAGCTTCTCCCGGAGTTGGGTATTCAAAATGTCCTGTGCCAATGTGGTTTCTCTGGAGTTTAGTGAGAGGGTTAGCTCGTGCTGGAGCATTGCACTCATTAGGGCGCCCATTCCTTTCCTGGTCACCTCATATTAGACCTCGATAGCCCCACAAGCTTGAGCCCGCTGTCACCTTGCACTGAAACTGGCCACCATCAGCACCCAGCACTTGCTGGGCACCCTCAGCTGGGTCACCACCATGCAACAGGCTTAAAAAAAACAGCAGTGACTTTTGGAAAATTTGGGAAATGCCCAAGCTTGTCAAAAAGGGGTGGAAAGGAAAGTAAACAGCCTATGAATATTTCTCATTTGAGCTTTTGGAGTGTTGGCGGTCTGTTATCATCTCCACCTAAAGACCTCTGATGGGGTCAGGAAACAGGAGCATAAATGAAGAAAGAGAGTATGGAAATCACAGACCCCGTTCCTCCCCCAGATCTCCCTCTCTGGGATGCTCTGCCAGATGCAAACATTTTCGTGTCCTGGCCATAAAGACAGACATTTAAAATGCCCTAAATTTCAACAAGGCACCTAGAAACCGCACAGGCATGCATGCAAACGTTGCAAATGTGCACACACATGAACGAGCTGCAGCCCTGCGGTGTGCACCCCCACGGTGAGCTCTTGGCTCTAGCAACCTGTCCCGTGCAGAGTTTGGGGAGGGTTTGAATTTGCCAGTAAAGTCCCACATCACCAGTTTCCCCAGCGAGCACCTCTTATCCCTTCCCTTTGTAAAAGTCCTTGGTCCAGCGGCAAGACCTTTCCAATACTGGCTTTTGGAAAAAGCATCTCAGCCCATCTTTAAAGACACATCAGACAGGCTGGGGCCAAACTTGCCATTTCGGTTTTCCCCTTGGAGAAAAGCACCGGGACACTCTCAGGCCTCAGCCCCAGCATCTGCTGGTGCAAAGTGACCTCTACAGCCCGCTCCCTGCACCTCCCGTCGCAGCCCGAAGCGACATTTCCCGCAGGCTGGGGAGGATTCACTGCCCTCCCGTGGCAGGCACCAAAACAGGTTTCTGTCTTTGAGTTCCACCAGTGTACAAGAAACAGTTGGATTTGCTGTAAGAAGAATAACATCAGCACTTTTGAACAAGCCAGTTTCTATCACAGGTTCATATAGGTGGAAAAGTAACCTAGAGCCTCTGGGTTGCTGTGACCTGTGATATTGCAGGAAGTCCCCATCAGCACAGGCTCTCACTACCTAAAAATGAGCATCAAATTCAGGGAAATAAAAGGAAGATGCTCACATGACAGTCAGTGTCTTTCCAAAAGTGACCTACTGTCCTTTTTCCCGCCTCATGTGATTATTTGACTGACATTGAAAAAACACACTATCAAGTAACATAAGAACACACTATTCCAGGTGAGAGGACCACGTGGAGATATAAGAGAGACTGGAAGAGGGAAAAAAAAGCTACATGGGAAAACACTCAGCACCAGGAAGGACCTGATCCTGCACAACCTTTCCCTTGCCTTGCTATCGCCTCCTCCAAATTGTCAGGACTCCGCAGGAGTTGGACTCAGCACAGGAGAATTCCCAAAGGAATTGCAGTGGGAAAATCAGCTTGGTGCAGTGTTCCCTTTACATGCCCCAGGATACCTAAAGAAAATGGAGTCCTGACAAAACCATGTGGCCTGGCAAGCAGAGATGGGCTAATTCGGCCCATCATCATGTGCTCAATGAAAATACCTCCGTGACCAGACCGATGGCATTTGGAAGAAGTACACTTGCTCCAAGTCCCGGGCCTGCAGCCAGTAGATGGCATTCATATGCCATCATATGCACACGTATGCTGTCATGTGCTGTCAGGCTTAAACTGCCTTGGAAAACATGAGAAGAAAATTTTTCATGTAAAAATGAAGGTAAAAAGCAAATATTCACCTTAGTTCAGATGACTCTGCAGACTTTGACAATTAACTTTGGAGCCATCAAGTGTTACAGACTTCCTGGCATCTCTTTCTGTCCTCGTGGATCTTCTGTCTATTATAGAAATACAAAATATATGTAAAGAAACATAATGCATCCTTAAAGCATCCATAAATATCTTGTGTATCCTGGACCACAGGGATGCCCAAAATGTGAGATGTGAGCAAGGGATACCCGACCATCGCTCTGAGGTCTGACCCAGGACCTACCAAGCTGATGATGCATGTGGCTAGGAACTGCCGGCCTTTGGCTAGCACTGGCACATGTCGTTTTCTTTACGGTGACATCCACTGGATTGAGGAGCTACTGTCCTCAGCACCTCATCCTGCAGGAGCCACTCAACCTAAGAGAAAAACAACATCTGTGTGGAGCTACGCCACTGGTGTTTGCAAGGGCTGGACACCAGGCATCTCCCTGCTGAGCTCCCAAAAGTCCCCCCACTCCCAGCACGGGGCACATGTGAGCACCCAGAAGGGACACACGGTTCCAGGAGAAGGATGGAATGGGTGGGAGAGGCGTGCTGTGTCCTAGGTGGGCAGCCAGGGAGGGTGCCAGAGCAGGGCCTTGTGAGACTGCACTTTTACCTGTGGCGCAGCACATCAGCCCTTCTCTGAGCCTGCAGACCTCAGCTGGTGCCACTGGAGAGCCCCAGAGCCATGCTGGGAGTGCACGAGAGGGCTGCGTGAGAGCCAGGACCAAGGCAGGATGCCTCTTCTTACCGTCACAGAAAAAGAGGTGCAATAGGCAGACTCCTGCTTTCACCACACAGCACTCCTCCATCTCCCCACCATGCCCTGATCTCCAGATCACCACAGCCCCACTGCCCACTGAACAGCCCTGAAAAAAAAATCAAATGCATCGTTAGCGGATGGTAACAGGAAAATCCTAGGGCATCAGCCAGAGGCAGACTTCACAGACCTGCACTATCAGTTGATATAACAAAAGAGATCTCCTGTCTCCGGCCATTTCTTCTAAGACTCAGAAGACAAACCCTTACACTTCCTTCACTGGGGGGTCACTACTACAGCTAGAGAGCTACCTTCTTCTTTGTACAGCACCAAGCACATTGGCTGCACGATGCAAAGATGGGAGGGATTTTTGACAAGACATCATCAAACTAACCCTGCCTCTACCAGCAGCTGGGTTTGAGGCTCTGGCCTGAGCTGGACGGAAGGCTGTTTGCTGAATCTCAGGAACCAGAAGGCAGAGATGTGACCCCAAGTCTGGAGCAGGTGAAAATCACTGCTCCTTCATTCACTTTTAGATTTTTAAAGGAACCAGCAAAGGTCTCGAGCTCTAATGCACTTACAGACATCCTGGAAGCAAGGAACAGGAGTTGGTCCCCCAGCACAAGGAGTTCTGTCCATCAGGTCTGTCTGTACAGCCCCTGGCACCAGAAGGGAGACCGACCAGTGCCTGGGGATTAGGTACCAATCAGCTCTGTATGTGCAAGGCAAGATGGATCATTAAATCCTGCATCTTACCACACACTGAGGACACCTTTTACTTTCTCAGTGAATGATGCACTGTATTAAAAAGCCCTCCCCTCCCCATCCTCCCCTCCCCAGCTCTCACACCTCCTCTAGGACCAGATCCTGCTGGATGATGGGCGTCCCTCGCTCCCACGGAAAACAGCAAGGAGACGGTGTGCTCAGCATCATTCATCCGGAGGAAGAGTGTAGGGAGATATTTGGTACCTCACAGCCAATTGGAGGAGAGGTGACACTGAAAGGGGGGTGCTCTCTCTGCTCCTCTCTCCTCCCATCCTCCATAACACACACCCCCCTCCCTGTCACCACCATCACCGCCATCCTCCTCACACACAAAAGCAGTGCAATTAGCTGACTTAAGAGAGCTGAGGCTTAGCCAGCTGCAAGAGGAAAATAATAATAAAATACCTTGGAGGGGAGGGAGGCAGAAAAGGAAGCAGCAGCCATGGAAGAATACAAATAACTGCTCTCAATTCCCACCCCCCGCCTCCCCTCAACAAAATCCAAATCACAAAGCAACGACTGCTGTGAGAAAGGCCGACCTAGATGCATCCCCACACTCCTCCACTGAGAAAGCCGCACATATCTGCATCCGGATCCAGGCGCTGGACCTCCTGAGCAGCCCGTGTCCGTCGGGAGGAATGCCTAGCTGGGATACAGGCAGGATCTTCTTTGTTCCTCATTAGCCACAAGCATCGGTGAGTACAGCATCATCTGGGCTTCCATGCTGCAGGGCAATGTCTGATATTAAGAAACACAAGACTCCAGACGGGGATTTGCTTCAATATTTTTCTCTTCTCTTCCTCCGTCCATGATGCTTTCAGGGTTAGCAGAAAGCAGATGACAGTGGTGGGGAGGAGGGAGGGAAGGTGGGGTCTCTCTGAGCCCCAGAGTATCTCCATTGCCTGCATGTAAGGAAATTAAAAATGGAGACATGTGTGACCGTGTCATGGGCATCGCATGCAGCCAGGATTGGGGGTGAGGATAGAATACATAATGTGTGTGCTGGGAGGAGAGGCTGAGAGACATTGGGCAGGGAGAACGCCCTGCATCGCTCACAGCCAGCTCTTTGCTCTGATTCCTATATCTGCCAGAGCCTGTAATAAAGACAGATGCTGGATTTACTCAGGCCTCTATGTAGCTTCATTCCTTTAAAGCAGATACACACAGACAGATTTATCTCCCTCCAGATCATCACCAGCAACACCCTCTGTAAATACAAGCCTCCAAAGGAAGCAGAAAAAACGGCTCTCTAGAAAAGCCTTATAGCAATGGGTCAAACTCTGCTGGATGCTGATTTCCCTGACACCAGAAACAGACAAAGTAGCCCCATCCATTTGGGAAATCACCCTAGGTCCCTCATCTTAAAAAAAATATGTTACTATCCAGCCAGTGCCTGGGTACATTTACACTGTAAAGGCTGAGCTCAGGAAAAGCATTCAAAACTGTCCTGTGGTGGATGGGTTAATGCACATGCCCAACATACAAGCTGATTTTCCTTGAACGTGTTCTATACAAGGCCTGACCTTGTTCCCTCTGGGCTCAGGTGCTACTAAGCTCAGCTGCAGCAGCATCCAGCTGAGAGCAGCATATCTGCTCTCTCCAACCAGAGCTGGTCCTGCAAGGACTGGTCCTTAGGAGCTGCAGGTGCAGTCCCTGGGAAATAGGTACAAAGGTCTGATATTTGCTGGCTAGCAGAATGGGAACCTTCTAGTGAAGGCAAATAATATATATGGCCCTAAGGGCCCCTCGTGCTTCTGGAGTGTTAGTATGAGTGAAAACAAGGCTCATTGGATTTGAACTCCTCCTGTTCATACCAGTGCAGGAGAAAGCCCAGACTGGGAACAGCACACACATCTTGCCTCCATTTGAAGTGCTTCAGCTTTTTGGCATCTACTCTGGTTTACCTAGGAGCAAGGCAGAGATACATATTCTTCAGGGGTGTGGAAGGACATTCAACATCCCTGTGAAGGCCTCCCCACCGCCCTCCTCCATTTCTCTCTGGATGCAAGGACAAGCATGGGGATGGAGCACAGACCAGGAAGCAGTAATCAGGAATTTCTCTGCAAAACCAAAGCTATTAATTTCTGCCCAGGCCAGCAAAATGGAAACTGGTGCTACTGCCAAACCAACCTGAAGCCAGCCTAGGAGAAGATCTTCTCTTCCCTTTCAGTCACATTTCATTTCCCTCAGAAGAGGTGCTTGCTTATGTTGAGATTAGTATTGGAAGAGAAGTAGCAAGGGAAAACCAGGTAGACATCAGCCCAGACAGTGCTGATCCTCAGGGAGAAGAGCTAAGGTCACAACAGAGCAGAGATATACCTATTGCTTTGATCCAGGGCCAACCTCACCTCCTCTTTCTTGTCTGAAGAGTGCCAAGTAGCCACAAAACCCAATGTTCTTGCTTTGCTGTTTTTGCAAAACAAGCAGCTACCATGCTGTTTCTCTGTGGAGCATGGTATCAGCATACCTGCTCTGAATGGCTTGGATTAAATGCTCTCTGGTCATGATGCTCAATGCCAACCTCTCTTGCCTTCCACCTCTCAGCCTGCGTCCTTCCTCGAGGGAACCGCCGTGCAGCCAGCCCCTCTCCAAGCACAATGGGAACCACAGAAGCCACTTTGCGGATGGAAAACGTGGATGTGAAGGAAGAATGGCAAGATGAAGACTTTCCCAGGTTTGTTCCCTGCAAAAAAAGTCAGAGAGAATTTTATTTCTTTCTGTAAGAAACCAGCAGGCCACGGAGCATGCAGGTTCCTCCCACCAGTCCCAGAGGCAACAGGAGTCTTAACTCCAACAGGGCAATTCTGGCCAGAGAACAGAGCTTTTGTAGCAAGGCTGCTCTGCATGCTTAAAAATTTTGGGGAGGCTTCTGACAATCCTCTGTGAGCATGCCAAGGAGAGGGTAAAGAGCCAGGTGTGGAGGACAGGGAGATTTGCACAGATGGACAGACGCATAGGATGGATGGACGGACTCCTTCCCAGTCTCTGAATCGAGCAGTGCCTCCCCAGACAGAGCAAATGCTGCTTTGCCCTGAATTTGCCACAGGAAGCGGAGGCATTGGGATGCAATGACCGCTGGCACTGACATGCAAAACCTAAATGGTTGCAAACCTTGTAAGAAATGATGTGTCGGTGACAGAAGGTGCCAAAATGGCAGCTTTCACCTTCACAGCCACTTTATTAACTGCACAGAGTGCCAAAAAAAAAAAAAAAAAAAAATCCCCATAAGCTCAGCGTGCGCTGAATTCCCTGCAACCCCCCAAAGGCTGCACCCACCCTCATCCCACCCCAACGTTCCCCCCCACATCCAGCAGTGAAGCCCACGGCCCAGCAGCAGCTCGCTGGGGCACACACAGCATGGCCAACACCGAACTCTGCTGCAGCTGGGGTCTGGGCTGCTGAGGGGCTTTTCAGGGCTGTCTCGCCCTGTCCCAGCTGCAGCTGAATTCCCCCGGGGAGCCCACAGAGCCCCTGTATTCGCAGACAGTGGCGCAGTGTGCTGTGCGGGTGGGCACGCACAGCCCCTGCCGTGCTAGAAAGGGATTCCTGTTTCCCTCGGCACCGGCAGATGAGCTTAGCTCTGTTTGCTCCGGGTCCAGCTGCATCACTAATCTAAGCACCTCTGTCTGCCAGCCCAGTCCTCAGCTCACAGGACGTGACTTGTCCTTCCGCTGGCCCCAGAGGTGGGCTCAGCCAAGCCCTTGGGTTTCTAGGATGGATTTTTCTTTCCTCTGAGAGCAGAGCTGGGCAAAGCTTTGGGCTGATGGACCTTTGCCAACCTGAGGCTCCCCCAGAGCACTGTGCTGACAAGCTTTTCATTGAATAGAAAGGAAAGCAGGGTGTAGAAAGGAAAGCATTGACCCAAGGCTCCCTAGAAAATCTGGGGAAAAAGCTGGACTAGCACCTGGACAGCTACGCACTAACCCACACCATCATATTGGAGCAGGAGCTGCCAGGCTCTGTTTCACACCTCCCATGCAAGCAGCAAACTTACCCCAGCCGCAGCCAGGCCTTCAAGGGACATTTTTTCTGCAGGGCCCACAGCACCACCTAACCCTGGCATCAGCACTCCTGCCTGGCTAACGAAGCACAGGGAGAGGCAAAGGGATGTGACCATGGCTGGGTAGCAAGCCAGCGGCAGGAACGAAGCCAGAGCCCTATAAACAAGCTCCCCAGTCTGCTGATAGACTGCTGCAGAGGGATTAAATCAGGAATGATGCAAGTGAAATAGAGCCTGAACAGCTACTACGCAAATGAGTGAATGCTAGCTGGGTTTAACTGGCATGAAAAATAAATAAATAATAATCTTCAAGACACTTCCCCCTAGAAGTATTAAAATAATAGGGCAGAAGCGGCTGCATGTGGGACAGTAGCTCTCAAGCAGATGATTTGCTGCATAGCTATTTTTGCTTAGCTGTGATTAACCAACCTTGCCACAAAAAAAAAAAAAACCATACCCTAGACAAAGATCTGGGCAGGAGGAACTGAATTCAGGTGCTCATTAAGGACACAAGGCGACATTCCCATCCCTCCCCGAGAAGCTGATCTGCAGAACCAGCTCCTGCCTTGCAGGCTGCAAAGGTGCAATGCCTAGACACTGAGCAAGCAGTGAGGAAGTGGAGAGGAAAGGGTTGCCCCCCTCCTGCTGCTCCCTGGAGGTTTAGCCTCCTGTCGAGAGTCTGTCTCAGCTGTTTGTGCAAGTGCTGTCCTGTGATGATGCTGTAGCAGTGCCGCGGGGCGGATGCAGGAGCATGCTCACTCCATCGCGCATCCATCGGATCACAGTCCGTGAAGGCTCAGGCTGGTTGGGGACAGAGAGAAGGTGCTTTTAGAGGGAAACTGGGCAGCAGGGCTCCCAGCAGAAAGCAAAATGGTGGCACCCAACCCTTAGAAAACCTGCTTCGTTCAGAAAATTTGGCATCTGGGGCTAGCTGTGTGTGGGAAGGAAGATTTACATGAGAGACTGGGGAGTAGTGATTCAAGCACCCTTCGTGAAGGTAAGAAAGCCTTTTTTTTTTCACCTCTGACTTTTGAATTGCTTTTCTTAAATGAATCTGAGCATCAGAGAGCAGAGTGCCTGGCTGCAGCACGTACTCTGTACAGCTGGGCCTTCTCCCCCCCACCTCCTTTTGATGCTGTATCACCAAGTTGTGCCAGGCGCCAGCTCACAGTCAGATAAACAACC